ACTTCAATCCTTCCGAAATGGTTGTCGCAATTTCTTCGTCTGAATCGACAAAACACACACGGCATCTATGTAAAGCAGAATTTCTTTATTTTTTTCTATTTCACTTTTAAATTTTAGATCATGTTTATATAGATTAAAATAGATTGTAACTGTAATAATAGATTGTAATAATATTATTATTTTATCTGATAGATTTACCGTGTCTAAATAAAAAAAAAAATAAATAAATAAAGTTCAAGTTCAACAGTATAAACATGAATAGAATACACCTTTGAAGAAATATCCAACTTTTCATTTAGAATATTAAATTGGTAAAATAAACGTTGAAATATAATGCCTCTCTCCTTTAGCGAACCGTATATAATAAAGTTAAGAATTGAATTTGCGCACTATTGTGTTTACGATTCTGAAATAAAGTTTCTGATATAGATATTTTGATTATATTTTACTAATCGTTGAACGACGAAATCTGTCCTGCAATCTGACTTCCTGCCTGTAGGCAAGCTCGTTTACAATTATAATTGTTAACGTTCCTTCCTGATCTTTTTTGAAAATACTGTTTTTGACGGAGCATCCACCTGGTACGCAAGAACATTTACCGCGCGAAAAAGGAACAATTTTTTTTCTGATCCGTGAAACGTTTTGACTTGAAAGATACAAAATTAATGAAATTCTCAGCTGTAGGGAACTGTTTTCTTTCTATCCATTCATTTGTAAATTAACAAAATTATTCCGGAGTTACCACAATAATTTACAACAATTGTTTCCAATTCAGAACTATGGCAGCTTTCACATGGCTGTAAAACCGCAAATAAAGCACTGTTGGTTAAATAGATAGCCAATTAGCAGAACTCGCCTTTCAAGCGTTGTGGCATACCGTAAACTCAATATCAGAGGTAGCATCTGTGCCTAAAGTGTTAAATTTTGTCAGAATATTGAAAAAGATAACAAAAAAGCGAAATATTGAAGGCCCTGAATAAATGTATAGACAACTCGTCTCGCAGAAGCACAAATCTCGGCAGAAATAAATGCGCTTCTATTGTATATCCAGTAAATGTTAGTCAGTTATAGGAATTATTATTTCCTTCAAAACGCCAGCTTTTTTGTAAGCATGTGCTCCGGTCGAGTACGTCACGTTTCTGACATAGATATAGAATATGTGTTGTATGCCATGCTGATTCGCTCGAAATCATGTCCACACGCTCTGACCTGGGATACCTCTAGAATTTTTTATGCTATAGTCTTTCGTGATAAATATGCTTTAAAGTGTAGTTAGACAAAGAAGAATGGCTTTATTTTTCTTCTGAACAAAAATTGCTCTTTTTTCAAATAAATCTCATAACCGTGGAACGAAAATACTCGGTGCGTTCAATCTTAATAGATTTCAGATCTTGAACTGGAACAATGAAATATAACCAATTAGCATTTTTTTCTAGGACGTTGCTTAATTTTGAATTGTTACTATTTGCTTTGATTTCTTCGAAGCTTTGCTAACGAAAGCAATGACAACTCTTTACAGCAGTTACTTTGGGATCTGACTTTTTGTTATATTTATTCGACTCCGGAACGAGTGGTCCGGATTCGAGCCCTGGCTGGGGACATTGTGTTGTGTTCTTGGGAAAGATACTTTACTCTCACAGTGCCTTTTTTTACCCAGGAAAATTAAATGGGTACCAGTGAATTTAATGCTGGGGTAACCTTGCGATGGACTAGCTTCCCTCCAGGGGAAAGTAGAAATAATCCTAGTCGCTTCATGCGGAGTTAAACGCCTGCCCGATGGGCCACTTGGCTCGTAAGCAGGCTTTATCTACCATATGATTTCTAGTTTGCATCAGAATTGTGGCATTTTTCAAATTTATTCATTAATTTTAGAATCTATAACGTCAACGATGACTTTTGAAGGAGATGATCAAAACTGCGCAGGCACTAAAGCGTCCATCCTTCCGTTGAGACTATCTTTCAAGAGGTAGCGGCGCATTCAAGATGACAGAAAACAAGAGATTTAGTGATAGACATCAAGAAGAGTATAACACCTGACCGCGTTATTTGTTGCAAATGAGATATCACCTACAATCTTTAACTCGGTTTTGACTTTTTCATCTGACACGTTCACTTATCAGATTTATAAGGCTTAGTAAGCCAATCTAAAATTCCAAATTGCAAATATTGATGATACAGAGGAGGCCTCTATTCCGGGGAAATATGGCAATGGAAAATACGATTGCAGATAAGATGTAATTATCCATTCTACGACAAAACATGCTAAGACATAACTAGCATCAAACTCAGGACTTTCCATTTCCGAGCGATGAACACCAATTTTTGCACGAGAACAACAATTCCGCTGTACTCTGATCAAAAATAAGATACAAACAGCAGTGATAAACATATTGAACTGCACATTTTGATTATAACTTGACGTTTCGTATGTACTCAACATACATTTTCAAAAGTAACTGTTGAAATTTAAAACAGCTATGTATATATATAACTAAGGTGAGGGGACTGGAACCAAGATTAAGCAAAAAACGTAACAATAAACAATAACACTAGAGCAGATTAATAAAGCAACAGCTTTTCACTTCCGACGTTCACGTTGAAAGCTGGCTCAAGTTCTTGAATAAGTAAGGACTCTTTGATTTTACAATGGTAGTCTGTTTTGCCCTTCGCCAAATTGTGCGCGATGGTCATTGACCAGAGATGTGAGAGGGATTTTCGGAAGGCAAGTCTTCCTTCGCTGTCGTGTTTTCCTACATGCTTCCTTCGGAGTCTGACCAGGGTCTGTTGGGACAGCATGCTAGAAAATGGCACGGGTTAGTAGTAGGCGGAAATACGTGGCATAGAGTTTTGGCCGCGTTAGGCAAAAAGAGAGGAGGCCAGATGGCTTGGGCGCCCTTTTGATGGGGACGCCTTGACATCTCTGATGAAACGTTGTGGATGTTGCCTTCAAGGGAAAGAAACTCATATCACTTTTTTATGCTGGTGGTTTTTCGAATAAAATTTGTATCAGAGATATGAGATAATGAATAAAAGTGAATCAATCTGGCATGGTCTTAAAGCCAATTTTACTCACGAAAAATCCGAAGAAATAATTTGATCATATAGATAATTTTATTAACATCTTTGTAGAACCAGTTGGAGAATTTGAAAGTCTATGAGAAGGCTTGTTTCTGTTATTATTTTTTTAAAATTTATCTCTAATATTATCATCTACAAGATGCTCATGGGAACGTTAACTTACTCCATGAGAGCCAATTTCGGGTGCTTAAAAAATGTAGCACGAAATGGGATTACCTGGTCAACGAAATGTTGTACATAAGAACAATAAGACCGAATGTAAACACCCAGAGTGATTCCATTGAGGCTAAGCTCTTTGTCTGACTCTCAATGACTCTTAATTTATTCTTTTTCTCAGCTATATATATCTTAGTTTTGTTGTTTCATTCTCACTTGATAATGACGTTCTGGAAACGTCGAAACGTCTTGTAATGTTTTCCAATATTTTATTGCAGATTTTTATTGTAAAATGTTTTGACAAATCTTTACTTATTCGAATTATCTGAATATCTACTCCGATTTTGACTAAAATTTCTCCTCTACTGTTGCTTTCACTATTGTTACCTGTGTCTCTGGAGATTGGTTGCAAACCACCTATAGGAATGGTTCGCCTTCATTCATATATGCGTCAGATATAGACAATAAATGTCTATAGACAATAAATGTCTATAGACAATAAATGTCGTCAGATATAGACAATACAAATGCTGGTGGACGAACAAAAGGAGCTAATGAGATGTCTCTTGTTCACGTCCACCAACATGGCGGCAATGACGTAACGTGCAAACCATCTATTCGTTTTAGAAAATTCAACAAAACAGACCACCAATCTTTTCAATCTTGACGTTTTGGTCGGGATATGGCCACCTGCGAAAAGTTTCTAGTTAATAACAGCAATTCTTAGCAACACAGCCCCGATACATGAAAATATTACCTATATCTTAAAACGTATATGGCAGGTAAAAAGAAATAATGACAAATTATCTACCGGACAATAAGCGTCCTGCAATACAAGAATAGAAGCCTTACGCCCGTAAGGAATATAAGAATGTTTTTGTATCCTCAAGGACTGATAGTTTTCTTAGAAGAAAAATTTTGCATGCCATTATAATTACTGCAAATTTATTTTCATAGGAATTTTCTGTAGATATGTCATAACTCTAAATACTATTCAAACTTACAGACAAAACTCCTTTTCATGCCAATTGTTGTATTTTTTGCCATTACAGGTACTTTAGGCCTTGTTATGTTGCTAAAAGGTTTCTGATGATAAAAGCTTTGCTAATACTGTATTTACTTTCTAATGAAAAATATTCACACTACCAACTTAGCTCAAAATGTGTTCAACTATGTTCGCCTGAGAACATTTCTCGTGCTGTTATGAAATAGGTTTCACCTTCGCCTGAAGGCCGCACCTTCAGGCGAAGAAGACCTGCAGTAAGCAGTCGAAACGTCGCGTTCTACATTTAGTGACTTTGTCGTGAGACAACAAAACAAATTTATATTATCATCAATTATCGTGCTTTCAAATTGCATTGCTCTGGGAGACACAACGTTGCGTGGGAACCAACACCTAAAATAGCCTTTGGCTTAATAACACCTTTTAAGCAAATTTAAATCCCGTATTGAATTACTGAAGGAGGAAATTTACAAAAACGACAAACAGAAAGAAACGCCATATCATTCTATCAAAACACTACTACAGTGGAAAAAGATCACGATATTTCATCCAGAAAATTTACGAGATATACATGAATATCAAACTAATTTTACCTCGATATTCGTGTTTTAAAATATTTATGTTTCCTTTAGCGATAGTGCATTTCCTAAAATTCATCGTCTTTGTTAAAGTAATGAATATTGTGTAATTATTATTCGATTCGGCATGAAGCTGTCGGCGGGAAATGCATGATTTATAATAACGCATGCATAGTCTCGGTCACTTTATACTATAGACTGTTTGAGGTTGAAAGCGCGAACCCCACGAGTTACTTCAGCGCCCGAATGTGTAATACCATCGCAAGGAACCGAAGGCAAGGCAAGTCAACAGATGGTAAAGTCACTTTTAATTTATAAACAGCACTTTCGTTACTGAAAAGTCCTAATTTTATCGTAGATGACACAGACATTTACGAAGTTTGACCCTGATGTGGTCATATGCTCGTCATGTTTTGCTCAATGTTGAAAAAATAAAAAATATATTAATTTTTAGTGTGGATCACAGTGAAGCACATTTATGTGGGAGTTTGCTGTAGATCTCGCAAAATGTCACTAGCGGCGCGATCACGGAATATAGTCTCCCACGACGACAAATGTAGCCTTATCATCTTTAAGCAAATTGAATCCAAAATACATTATTGCCGGTCTCTGCTTTTGTCAATAATTACGCCGGAAAACTGAGGCGTTAGACTAAAAAGGTTTTTATTTATACACAGATAAACTTTGTAGTACTCTACACTGCTCACCAGCTTGTTAAGAGCCTACAGTTTAAATAACGCTATTGCTTTTACGAATTTTATCGTACTCAGTGGAAATAAGACGTTCAAGAAATAAAACCTTAATTCCAATTAGCGCACAAAATGTAACAACCTATTGAGTTACGATGGGTTCACCCACCTTGAAAGAAAAATTGTAATTTTCAAAGCAAGGGTAAATTAATGCAAATTATATCGTTTGCCCAGTCGTTATGTCAATAGAAGAATGCCGGTTAACCAATAAAAAGGAAGAATTTCTCTCCGGTAAATAAAACCATCTGGTAAAGTTTTCTCTGCATAAATATCAAACAAGGTTATAGCAATTTCCATTTCAAGTTTGCTTTTAAGGAGGAAATGACTCTATCTTTTAGTTTCTTTCAAGCAACAATGACTGCAAGTTGATGTTTAAATAAAACACAGACGCGTTCAGTTTTGTACTAAATCCACCCTGCGTTTCAGGTGAGAAATCGTTTAGGACTCCATGAAAACTAGACAGAGATTTGAAATAATACCTCGCGTGGTGGACACATCCCAGCGAAGGATCATTTTAAACGTCGGAGGACTAAAACATGAGACTTATCTGAGCACGGTCAAAAACTACCCAGATACCCGACTGTACTGGGTCGTGGAAAACGTTACGAAAGCTATCGATTATGACTCGGAAAAAATCGAGCTGTTCTTTGACCGACATCCAGGGATATTCGAGCAAGTTTTGAACTACTATCGTACAGGTAAACTGCATTGCCCGCACGATGTTTGTGGTCCACTGTTCGAGGAAGAACTCGCGTATTGGGGCATTGATGAAAAAGAAATGGAACATTGTTGCTGGACTTCTTACACTCAGCACAGAGAAGCAGAGCATAACTTAAAAAGTTTTAATGTCACTGACGGTGACCAGGATCAGGATACAGATTTGGAAAGCGATAGAATGGAGGATTCAACTCCTGCAAGAGACTGCGGCCGGCCTTTCACCTGGTGGACGAAGTATCAGCCTAAGATTTGGCCAGTTTTGGAAGAGCCCCATTCTTCTAAAGCTGCTAAGGTTAGTTGCAGTTCCTTGCATTTAACGACAAATATTGCTTTCACCACACATTGTCTACAACAAGGTTGGTTAGACACTGTTTATTTAGGGGCACTCTATTATAACACTGGTAATTATTTCGAGTTCTCATTCGTTACAGATAAAGTTCAAGCGAAATATTTTGGAAAATGATTTAGAAGGACATTTTGGATTGATAACGCACGTGCAATTCTACGATATGTCCGTATCTATCGTCATACTTGTGGATAGCTAAGACGCTAAGTGTTGGGTTATATGTATCTTGTCATGGCAGCTGTTCATAGCATTAGATTCGGAGCCTTTTCCACTGTTGCCTGAATCAACTTTAAGAAATGTGTTTAGACTCAACCCTGCGATTTTCATTTATAAGAAATGGTCAAAAATTAGCACAAAAACTGAGACAAGAATTGGCAAAAAGAATTGGCACCAAACGTTCGCTCGTTGAAACTGACAACGGGTATACACTGACATCACTGGGTTAGAACCATTTTTGAGATGCAAATTACCACTCGTACTGAGTAATGAAAACCTTGTATATTTTCAAACATCGATCGAAACATGATAATTTATCTCATAAGCAAATTACATTTCATAAAAGGTTTTGTATTGGCCAAAGACTTTTCAGTATCATGATTGTCACGATCATTTTTTTTTATTCTTTTCGCAAGCAAAGAAAGTTGTGCTATGGGCAAATTAATATGGCAATACACTGATGCACAGTGTTAAAACGGGCAAATCCGTGATGGGATTTGCGCTGAATTTCGTTCTAGAAAGCCGCAAAATGAAATTTTGACGAATTGAGAGCATTTTTAATCACTAAAGTCTGTTTGAACGATTTCTTAAATAAAAGTTAAGATGAATTATTTACCTTTATTCAGCATTTTGACAGTTTCGATTATCGGTGTGGAAAAACTATATAAGCTTAGCGGTGTTATTTCATAAGGCAACCACTGCAATGAAAGAAACTCCAAAAGCAATTTCGTTTAGTTTTTTTTGTTTTGCACGAGAGTAAAGTGTTTTTCATTTTTCTTTGCATGAAGCTTTTATTCAGTGGGGTGATTAAAAGTTGAATCCATGGTGGTTACCAAGGAACAGAATGTACGATTGAGATCAGATTATTCCTTTCCTTATTCAATCCCTGCTCTTGAATGTAAACGATTAAAACCGTTGTTACGAAGGCAAACGTCCGTTTCCTTCTCAGTTTACCAGCATCAATTTGGCATTGCATTTTCTAAATAGTAACTGAATTTCGGTTTTTAATTTTGATACCGTCATAAATTTGTAAGGCACGACATTGCTCTCCTACCGTGTTTCAAACATTTTTTAATATGTCTATGGATCTTTGTCGAAAATTCAGAATGTTTCTACAACACAAAGTAATTGCTTTACACAAATTGTAATAACTAAATCTAGATTAAAACTTGTAATTGAAGTGATCCTGAAATGAATTAACTTTCGATCTTTTACATTAAAATAATTAGAAACTAGCAATTATCGTAGCATCAAGGGGGGCTTGCTCTTGGTCATAAGCAGATCATGATGATCAAAAATCAATTTTTTTTACCAAAGCGACTGAAATAAGTTCTTTCCTTCCCGTAAAGGGTATTAATCGTGGTCTTGAATTTAAATTTCTAGTTTCCAAATCGTCGGCTGGGTGCAGTCCCATTTCCCTCTCAGCGGCTTATCTGCACCTAAATCTCTCCCAATTTTCAATTTCAGCCAGCGAAGGTAAAAGAAAACTGAGGTACTAAAAGATTTAAAATGTTGAATTTAGCATTCGAGAACTAATACCAGAACTACTTGTATCCTTGCAGTCTGCTTATGATATACGTTCTAATCCTTCTTTCAGATATTTTCAATTATCTCGATAACGCTGATCCTACTGTCCGTGGGCACATCATGTGCTCTAACTCTCCCCCAGTTCTCTAAGCAGTCAAGATCAGCCCAAGGTTCCGCAGCCCCTGCAAAGGATCACACCACGGTAGCAATTTTCACTACAATTGATTTCTTCTGCGGTATCTGGTTCACTTTAGAACTATTGTTAAGGATTATCTTTTGCCCAAGACGACGCGTCTTTTTCCGAATGGTGACCAACTGGATCGATGTCTTGTCAGTGATGCCGTTCTATATTCGTATTCTCGATTCCGACCATGGATCGGCGATTGCCGATGCACTTCTAATGATTAGACTTCTTCGACTTTTCCGCTTCTTTCGATTGCTCTACGGTCTTCAGATACTGTTGCACACGTTAAAGGCAAGCTCGTACGAGCTGGGACTTCTGTTATTGATCTTGTTTATACCAGTTGTTTTATTCTCATCGATCATCTATTACGTAGAGCGTACCATGGATAACATCCACACTAAATTTCGCTCAATCCCAGAATCCTTTTGGTGGTCACTTATCACGATGACCACTGTTGGCTATGGCGACATAACGCCAAAAACGTGGCTGGGGAAAATTATAGGAGGAGCATGCGCAATTTGTGGCCTTCTTGTGATAGCCCTTCCAATTTCCATAATTGGAAGCAATTTTAACCTTTATTATGCGCACGCTCAAGCGAGGCTTAAACTTCCGAGACGAAAAAATAAAGTTCTGTTAAATTCTATAACTTCAGATTTTTCGAATCGCGGAAATTCCTCTGGTGTCAGGCGTAGGGGATTACGTATTCGTAGTAATGTCAGCTATGAACCTAGAGAGGATGACAGTTTAGTGTCTGGCATGTTTACCAGTCATTCATCTCGGCAAAATAGCCTTGCAAGGCAAAGTCCTGGTGAGGTGAAGCGAAACTCGACTGCCTGGAGTATTCCGTCCAGCAAATCGGATAACGAAGGAAAAACTTCTCCAACATCAACAAGGCCGACCAGAGAACGTAGAATAAGCCGCAATGAGAGAGGGGCTCCAAAACTTGGAGATCTTCCCGAAAAAGATGAAACAGAAGAAAACGATTGTCATGATGATAAACATCAAGTTCCAAAGCAAGAGTTCATCCCGGAAAACAATTATAGGAACAGTCTAGGTGTTCCAGGTGTTTCTAATGTCATACCCAAAGATCGCCTGCCAGTTTGGATAGCAGAAAACGGAAGAACTCCACGTCTAAGATCCTTCAGTGTTCCGTCGAACTCAAACACGCCTTTCCCTGAGGCACCTCCACGCAAAACGCAGTCTCAAAGCTCTAATATCTGTGATCGATGCTCTCTACCGAGAGACACCCAAAGCATCCGTAGAGAAGAAAACAGAAAAACATCATCTGGAGAAGTTTGTTGTTGCACAGAAAAAGATGGACTACCTCGAGGATCGAGAAATAACTCAACGTACACGATATTCATACCAGGAGTTGATGAAGGTGTACAAGTTAGTACAGAAAGCTTACCATCCTGGAGCAGGGAACTTCCTTTCGAAGGACTCTCGCCCATACAGCTTAATGTTGTACCCCGTTGGCGGACAAGAAGATTTTCAGACGAAGGCAGCGAACCAGATAATCTAAATGAAACTGACGAGCAAGAAACTCTTGTTAGTGAGTTAAGCGACAGCAGACCTGTTTTGGATGGGAAAAAGAAAGAACCAAATAAACACCCGCCCATGCTATATTTAGATATGCCAAGGAGACATGGAAATACAAATGAAAATGAAACGTCAATTTAATGGAACGAAGTGTCGTAGAAATTGAAAGCAGATGGAAAAATAGCTGCTGAAAGGCAGCTTGGACGGAGCTTGTTGGAGCACATGAACAAATGTGCATCTCAATTCCTTAAGGGTACGCCGAAGGGAGCACTCCCTCCTTTGATCCGTCAAACAAGTATGGAAATCATGGTCTTGAGTAGTAATTACAGTCTTTATACAGGAGGTGGCCTTAATCAGTAGGTGCTTTTCAGGCAAGGTCCTATTTTTAAAAACTAAAAACTAAAATCTAACAACTAAAACTAATAATTAACAATTATTCGCCGAAAGTGAGGTGAATATCGTCGAATAATCCCCGAGACGAAGTCGAGGGGATTATTCGACAATATTCACCGAACCTGAAGCGAATAATTGTTTCAGTATAATTTCAGAGCTGAACAAGAGAGAAATTTCTAAAATCATAACATTTTAGTAACATTTATTAACATTTTAGTTTAACATTTTATATAAACCGCGCGGAGCGGTTTATATAGCGTCATATAAGGAACCGCTCGACCAATCAGATTGCTGGAAACTCTTTGTTCAGCTCTGAAATTATACTAATGATTATTACACTAAAGCTATTAAAATAGAGCTAAAACCTATAGGGTCTCTTAAATTGCAGTTGAGTGTGTAAAATGATTTGTAGTTTTACGATTTATAGTCAGAACAGAGTGCTTCTTTGCGCTGGAAGTCTTCCCCACTTAGTTGTTGAAATTATTAAGAATTTGTAAAGAGGTATTAAACTTAAACCTTTTTAAGCTCCATATTTACTTACTATGTTAAATGAGAAAACTACTGATATAGCAAACTATTCTAGTGTCACAACCGTTTTATAATAATAATAGTAGTTTATTAAACTCTCTTACAGTAACTTACTGAATTAACGAGCTATGATACAATGAAAACTTAATAAGAACGACTTTGTACATTTCTGTATACATTAAGTACAAGTTATATACACTACACGGAACATACATCACATTTGTTAAAAATACTTAAAAGTTAAAAAGTCTTCGGTGCGCTTCGTTCTAAAGGTAGTAACGTTTCTGTAAAGATACAACTGGTCTGATTTGTGCCTGAGGTTATAGGGACAGGTATCTTTTAAGCGTGTTGGTAGAAGAGGATGGAGAGGGTGGTTTAAGTCCTTCATTTTGCACATATACTCTTTACATATCTTATCTCTTCGATACGCAAGGGTCTCCACCCGTGCTAACTCGAGGGCTTCTGAGTAACTATCGGCACATGGGAAAATTATCCTAAGCGCCCTTTTCTGTATGGATTCAATTTTGTCAGACATAACCTGGAATTGATTGCCATACTGGTACGGCGTACTCCATGACAGATCTAACAGCGCTTGTATAGACCTTTAACATGCTACCTTGGTCAACGCCGGCTTGACGTAGAATACGTAGAGAGTAGAGCTTCTTGCAAGCTTTTTTCTATATGTAGTTCACATGCCTATTCCACCTAAGGTCGCTATCGATGAATACTCCTAGAATCTTGTAAGTTTTTTACTTACTCAATTCAATACAGATTGAGTTTTCATCGATGAGAAATATTTAGAATTAGATCGAAGCAATATCAAAATATTCCTAGCTAAAATATACGAAATTGTAAGAGTCTAAAAGCTCTTTTAAAAAACGTCTTATTTATAGAATAGCAAACATTTGACGTACAAAAGTTTGGCGCACGCGACACCTATTTATCGTATGTAAACAAAAACAAAAAAACAAAAGGAGTTTACAATTAATAATAGTGGTTTCTAATGTGATCAGATTTTTTTAGTCCACCTAGCCAAAAGAATTTAAATTTATATAAAATCTAGTTGAATCATTCATCATTTTTGTATATTTATATTATTGGGTTTACATCTGTGTGATTTTGCAGCCCTTTTAGTACATAACAATCAACTTTAAACTTAACTTATTAAAAAGTTAGGTACATTAGATCAGGTACATGTCAGTTAGCCAGTGGAAGGTCTAAACAGTTTCTAACTGTGTAGCGTTCTTAGGGTAGTGTTCAACCGAGACACGAAGAGTATACAAATCGATGGTTTGTTTTCCTTCAGTGTCGAATGGTGAAAATGGATGTGGCTCCGATGAATGATGAACTGAGAAACTGAGGTGATAAATTAAGGTGAGACCTACCGAAACTAAAACGCAACACACGAGCTGTGAACCGAACGGGCCTGGGAAATAAAAAAACTGACCGAATGGGTCCTAGGGCCCACTGACGAAAAAGGCGGCGAAACCCGTAACAAACTGTATTTTAAATATATTAATTCGTTCTCGTCAGTTATTCCTGTAATATAAAGCAAGGACGTGTTTTTATTTCAATTCTCTTTGAAAATAATAACCATATTGTGTTAAAATTTTGAATATTTTGTTGATAACTAGTACTTCACCTCATTCAATATGGAAAAAAAAGACAAAAATTTTTGACGAAAAACCTTCAGATTACTCAAACGTTTTCAGTGCCAAACTTCTTCAGTAAGCGGACGCAAATTCGTTATAGTGTGTTGCCAACTGCCCGTTAGCCAGCGGATTCTATCAAAATAGAACTTAGTCCCCCACAGTCGAGAGACAAAAACATGTGCTTGTCGGACCCGCCATCTTGTTGTGTTATTGCGTAGTTTTTCGGATCACGAATTAAAACCTTTGCTGTTCTCGCTCGTTGTCCAAGTTTTATTTTGTTCGGATAACCTTCGCCACATAGTGAGGAGTCTTGAGTGAACCAACAGTGAGGTCACATGAAAAACAAAATTTTCAATCAGTCATCAGTTCATTGTCTACCTAACATTCGTATATTTCTCGTGGCCTTTTTTGATTTAAACTGAGATCTTAGCATGGTAAGATTAACGCCAACATGATATAAAAGTATGCTTAAAAACAATCGTTAGGTAGAGAATTTTTCAATTCACGGTGTATTTGTTCAACTTTGGCATGACACTCTCAAACACTTGTTGGAAAGATTCTGAATTTCATGGGTTTTTCTTTATGTGTCCAAATGCTTAATGCTCTTTGTTAGTACATTTTACAACATATCGATCCAAAGTCTTGATTTCCCTCGATATTTTGTTTCTGCGTAAAGATCAAGGAGAGTTTTCTCTTTATTGACGTGAATGATGTCTTGAGGCCCTAAAGATGAAAACGTTGGAAATTTGGGAACTTTTTTATCCATCAATGTCCCATCGGATTTGACAATTAAAGGAGTTTAAATAATGAGATATATATAAGTGATCTTTAGAGAAGCTGTAGCCGAGAGTCTAGGAATTAATTAAGGTTGTTTGGACTCGATGAAGTTGTTTATTGTTGTGAAATAATGCTTTTGATCTACAGCTGAAAAGTGACTGGACTTTTGACGCAGATTTCACAATTGACAGCAATCATGTCAAAGTTAAACGCTTGTTGTTGCTAAACTGAAGACACTTAGCTCTCTCTAATGAAGTCTTAGAGAAGCTGCCTTTCAATTTCAAATTATTAGAACACAATCGGCAAGATCTGGCACACAGGTTAGTAAATTACATGGGTGATGTCGAAGAATTTTGAAGCTTTTAAATTTTTCTAGTCGATTCCTCTCTCGTATTTTTTCCAGCTGCAAGGTTAACGAGCTTTGAAAAAGTGAGAGATTAAAATAGTTTCATTGGGCTAAACTCAAGAAAGAAAGGTCAATGACAACCGTTATGTCTAAAACCAAACAAAACGAAACAATTGAAGGAAAATTTCACTAAAAATTTATGTTAGTCTTTTCCTTTTTAAAAACATTTAGAACTTCAAAATATGACACTTTGTCGTCATTATATATCCAATTATAGTCTAGAAAAACGATTTGTATGAAGGACCGATCTCGAACATATATGGATACCAGCGTGTTTTGTGGTATTTGATCATGAGGAAATAATGATACAGTAAAGAAAAACGAGAATATTTCTTCCGTGCAAAGAGTTTGTTTACATCATTAAATCTTCACCTAGATGTAAACACGAAATGATTTTGCCAAATCCCTTTCTGAATCAACAGACACCTCTTAATGCCAAAAGTTTTGCAAAAAAAATTATATATTCACAAATTTTTCAATATATTACATTTCATATCGCAAACCAGCATCCAATGAGAGATTTGTGAATTAATGACCTCGGACCTGTTTGGATTACAACAACATCATTTATGTCTGCACGAATTTCGATTTAACAAACCGTGATATTTCTTTTAATTCAGACGAATTTATGGATCTATATCAATAAATACATACGTCGTCAAGCAATCATAAAACAAATATCACTTCGTTAGTGAGAACACGTAAATTACACAGGTTAAAGAGTTGTTGCATGTAAATGTTAGTCAAGAGAACCCTCTGTTGAAAATAATGCAACTTCAAACTGTAAAAATACCCCTTGACAAGTAACTAATTTCACACTGAATCGGGTAGGGTGGATCTAAATAAAGGTACGTTTCTGGAGAAGCTTACAAAACAGTTTTCTAGCAAGCGGGAAATTTGTTTGGTCCATAAAAACTACATCAAATCAACACATTGTTTTTAAGCACATCGTGCCGAGTTCATAACGATGTTGTCAAGTCAACAGTGAGCATCGAGTCATTATTTTGAGTCGTGGAGTCTGAAAAAATTCCTCAAAACCCATAATTGATATCATCATCATCATTATCATTGTGTTTATCATGGCCGTCGTCACGAGTATGAGAATTAGAATCGATTCTAATATCAAACGCCTCTCGGTTAGCTCAATAGATAGAGCGCTGGACTGTTGTGCGAGAGGTCGAGGGCTCGAGCCCCGGCCGGACCAACACTCAGGGTCTTAAAATAATTGAGAAGAATTTGCTATCTTTCTGTAACACCAAGAAATGGTTAGATATTCTAGTCTTCTCGAAAAAATGGAGGTCCCGTCTCCTGCAGGGTTGGGGTAGGAGACGTTCATTTCCCACACACGAGATTACTGTGTGATGGATGTCCTCCCCTGCGGTGGGATGGGTGGGTTTATTGGGCCCGCAGTATTTGGTACAAGCTGTTGCGGTGTCCCTGCCTGTTGGCGAAGCTAAATAAATCTAAATCTAAATCATTAGACTTACTAATACAACCATTATCATCAGTGTTATCGTTATTGCTGTCATTGTAACTGTTTTTCCTTCGTTAACATTTTGATGGCAGTTAATGTTGGGCTGAGGTAAGTACATCTTTTTTCTGGACAAAATTGGTCGAAAAATGTATGGAATGAAACAATTCTGTGATCTAAGATGAAGAAAATTCGTCTTGTTATAAACACATCAATAGCCATTTTGCCAAATTTACCATGTTATAGAACTTACTAAGCAAACGAGCAAAACACAAACTCACTGACCAACATACTGAACATTTTTAATTTAATTGGACGATATTTTTTGCAACAAGCTTATAATTGTACAGGCGTCCTTAACTCGCCTTTCTCTCGTAGAGTGTATTATTACCTTCTTGTCTTAGCAAAGCTCACAGTTTGCCACAGACAAAATACCCACGTTTTATTTTCTACAATTGCCTTTTGTTGCACTCTCTGTGTTTTTGTTTCGAGACAGAGGCTTCATCAACCCCGCCAATGCGTTCGTTTCCTGTCATGTTTTGGTTCATCTTGCCAACAAATTAGTGACCACAGTTCTTTTTCGGAAGCAGTTTCTGTCTACTTCAACAAAAGCCGAAATGTGTGTTTTCCCAAAAGCTTCACTGAAGTACAGCACGAGCATTGTCTAAGCATTTTATTCATTTGCATGAATCTCACAAATTTATTCTAATAAATTCAAAAACCAATATTAAATTAAATGAGTTAAATATTTAAATACTGTTTACTTTAAATTTCCCTTTATTAGTTTTCTTGACTTCGAATGGCCTTTGGAGAAAATCACCCTCAATGGCAGATTTATCTTGCAACCAGTATGATAGTTTTTGAAAAGAAAACTCTAGTTTGAGTAGAAAATTGGAAATTCAATGCTACACAAAAGGCAAAGAAAAAAAAAACCTGGTCTGCGTGATTTTAATATTATGATATATCACTTCTAGCACCTTTGTAGACAGTCACCATAATTATCTCATGCCAGCAAACCTTGAGGAGGCAAGGTCATGCCCACGGGACAATTGATAGACTATTTATTTGGAATTTCGTAGACAAATTTTCGGTTCATTAAAATCTTATTTCGTGTTTTTCTCCAGCCCCTGCTGAGTAAACAATTGGCACGCAGGAAGGCCTCCCAGGTAAATTAATCTCTGTCAATAAGCTCAAAATGCGTGTTATGAATATTTTGTATGGATCATCGAATAAAAAATATGGCCATTAAAGATGATTGAATCTTCTTTCACGGCAATTACTTTTATCCATTCGCTACTAACTCGAGCAGCAAAGTGATGTCTGAAATTTCCAACAAAAGCAATACATTTCTTTTGAGATCTTAATTCCCAACAAACATAAGTAATCTTACTAGATCGCACCATCCAGGCTTTGATAGTTTTTTGAACCGTCACAAACTTCATTTCAATCATTGTAAAATTACTGCGACAAGCTAAAGCTGATGAAGCTTTGGTCAGCGTGTCCAAGACCGCAATTTTCACTCTTGGACATTTCCAATAATATTCGCCCTTAAGCTAGAATACCAATTGATAGATACATCCTATTTGCACTTTTTGTTGACAGTTGCCTGTCTGTTCTAACAACTGACAAGCTAAATTACTTCCTCGACACCATATGCCAATGAAAGGACATTATATCTTTAACCGCAATTCCGCCCAAATGCAGTATTTATAGTTTTGTGAGATTAATTTTTTGGTTTTCAACTATGAATGGATATACCTCTATACTGCAGCATTTCTCGCAAAGGCTAGAACTATTATCTTTCAAGTAAGGTAAGATTAAGAACCCTGTATAACTTAGTCTCGAATAGGATAAAGGTACCGACATACACAGAATTAATTATGATCTGGGAAGATTAAACGAATATCCTTCCACAAGAGCCAAAGTATAGACACCGGGTCAACCTTTAAGATTATTCCTATGGAGTCACCGTTTTAAAGATGGTGAAAATTTTTCTTTACCGGTTAGTTTACGATTGTATCATTTTGAAGTAACTTTTTCCTTAAGTGTTCTGGAAAGTATATCATTATTGAATAGTGTCAAGAAATTTGAACACTGATATAGACTTGAGAGAATTTCCAATAGAGGTTTGAGGTCAAAATTTAAGCTTTGTCATTTTACCGAATATAAAGCCGAATCGGATAAGTGAAATCCACCTTGAATTTTCCTTGAAAGATTTGCAAATTATAATGCTAAATGTATCGAAACTGAAATAAAACCATTCTTTGTGGCAACCAACTACTTCATAAACATCAGAAATTTTTATTACAGATACTCTGAAGCTATGGCCATTACCGCAAATTTGATTGTTTCAAGACGTGAAGCGCTTTTAAACAAATTTATCGCTTTCAACTGAATCCATTACTGTTTGCTTCTTGATAATACTTCTCGCTTTTAAAATCATAGCCTCAGCATACAAAAAGCTGTTGATTTGATTGAATATTCTGCAAAATCTGAGTTTAATTCTGAATAATAATAACTTGTTAAGTTTGAATATCATGATTATACATTGGCAAATAAGTTCTTTTTGCTCAGGAATAAGCATGGAAAAAAATGTTTAGTCTGTTCAACCCCATCCTTTGTAACGAGATGAAGCCTAGGGTAAATGAACCATTTTTAAAAGCTACACTTTTGTATAGCACTTTGATAAAATGTTACCACCTTTCAGGGAGAAAAATAAAAGAAAATCAATTTGAGTAACAAGAAAGTTACGTGTGCGTCTTTCGAATTACAGTTGGTATAATGTTGCTCAGCATTAAGAATTCGTACCTGCATCTCGATCGACAATTGCATCCAATTTCAAAAACATATTGGAATGTGAAAAATTTGAGTGAATTTTAAATCTACACATGACGATAATGAAAGACAGCCTTACTACTACTAGGTTCGAAAAATTATTAATCTTCTAATTACATATGACTTTGAATGATGGAAAGCAATTTCCAAGTAGTGTTATTTACACAGACTTGGGAAAAATTGACTCTAAAACCAATAAGCTTTCATGTTCCTATTTCATTTATAGACCTGGGATGCAAACTATTTAATAAAGTGCTTTGATGTAAAGCTTTCAAACGAAAGAACTTTATGCAAAGAAATAATATACGGCATGTTTCTAATTAAGAACTATTCAGCCTTCCTTAAAAAAAAAAAATCAAATTTTGTCTGCGATGATTTCCAAATACTTATGTTCTTTTTTAATTATTATTATTATTATTATTATTATAAGCAACAATTACAAGACTCCCCTCCAGTGCTTCGAAAGGTTGTAACAGCTTGAAAATTTTATTTGTGAAAGTTTTACGTACTGAAATTATGTTTCGTCACGTATGCTCCAAAACGCTTTAATAGAATTACGAAGTTGACCGAGGTCTATCTCGTAAATGCTTACGAAGTTGACCGAGGTCTATCTCGTAAATGCTTACGAAGTTGACCGAGGTCACAGTATCTCGTAAATGCTTATGAAGTTGCTGATGACAGACACAGGAACTTGATGGCTTTGAGGAATTCCGGTCCACTTAGGATGAGGATTTCCTTAACTTGTTTTGCACCCATAGCTTAGACCACAAAATCATGTTTTAATTTAGCAAGAGGTCATGAGCGATGTGATATTGTGTCTACGCACCTACCCCTCCCCGAATTTGATTCGAAGCCTTGAGGTTCCCTCGGCAATAATTTTAGTTTTCCCGCTGCAGAGTGTAGCGCATATTGGTTGACAACAGCAAAACGGCGGAAAACGTGGCATTCATCGTAATCTTTTATTAGCTTAGTCGGTAAAGTCTGACGACAAAAAACTCAAATCACTTTGTATGCAAATAAGCAAAAAATAATTTACGAAATCTGTTTCACGACTGTTTCACAACGACTCTAAAATTTAAAACATTTCGTATGTTGTTGACACAGCTTTGGAATCACGTCCAAATTTTATTTCAGCTAATGTCAAAACAATGCTGTAACAATATTATAACGTGAGCATTTTTAATCGTAAATTCAAACATGACATTATTTTTAGTGTATCTGATACATTTATTTTCAATTAAGGGTAAGCGCCTCTTTTGATGTCTTTTTTTCCTTTGTTTGTGCAATGAGAGTATCAAGAATGCATTATAGCCTTACTGAAAAAAATAGTGGCGATCAATCTGCGTAGAAACCTTTCTATTCAAATTCAAATGATCTCTGTGTGTTGTCCGTCGCCTAAGACACCTCGCCGACACGAGAGTTATTTCTGTTTCGTGAAGTAGGCTGATTGCTTTTTTTGTTCCCATGGTAAGTTACTAACTTTCCCGTCCAATATCGTTGACGTTTCCGGTTATATTCACCGCTCTATGTTCCAGACGAAAGGGACAGATATGAACTGAGCTAGTCTAAAGTGCAGAGAATCGGTAAGTTTGTTTATCATTGCAAGCTGTTCGCGATGCTACATCCCATTAACTGTAGTACTTATTCCAAAAACACTCAATATATTTAACTCTTAGATAAGGCAGAGAGTCGCTTACCATTAAGTAGCCTGAATGCAACAGTGCGTAGAAATAAAATTGAAACTGTCTTTAAATTCTATAAAGGAAGTAAAATTCCAAATTAATTAGTAACGTGTTTTTTATAACATCGATTGTAAAATTCCAAATTCCAAATTAATTAGTAACGTGTTTTTTACAACATCGATTGCAGACCAGAGCCAAAAATAAGAGCATACTTTAAATGCTGAGTTTATGTACAACGAGAACTTAGAGCGTAAGTGATAATTGATTCAAAATACTTCTAGCAGATTCTCTGCACCTTAAGGCTTAAAATTACATTATACGCCACGAAATGTATTACCTGTAGTATATGTAGAAAATATCTGTCTACAAAGACACCATGAATGTATTCATAGGCTATCAGTGAGGGTCACACTGTTCGACACTAACGGTAGCCAACTAGCCACAGATCAGTAGAAATTCAGTTTTGGCTAACGGTTTTGGATTTCCAGATAGGCCAGTTTGGTTAGTAAACAAAGGGACATTTTTGTAATATCTAATTTGCCACTAGCCATTCGGCTAGTAGGTTGAAAAGTTAGTGTCGAGCCCTGGAGAGACTTAAATAGTTTACGGTAAAGCTATTAGGAAACGTCAGGCAAATTGTTTTTTTCGTTTAGTTTACTAATTTCTTTAACCCCCCAAGTTTTCTTTCTTTGTTCCATGAAATATGATTCTTAACAAAGCGCGTTTAAAAAAACAAAGATTTGCTGAAGTGATGCGGCTAAAATGTTTTCTTCTGAAATAGAATATTATAATTTGCAAACAGTTTAAAAACATTATTTCCAAATGTCAGGGCAAACAGAAATTTACATAAAGTACTGGCTGTTGTTTTTAACAGTTCACAAATATCAAAACAATGAGGGTGTTTTCTTAAAATTTGTAGCTCTTTCTTTGCAAAATAAGAGGAAGAGAAATCTATACCCAAAGGAAATAATAATTTAGAGCAGAGGAGTATCGTACGCAAATCTAAAAGCTATAGATTGCGTCCTCTGATTGTGTTTGCCCAAAACACACGATGAAAAAAATATTTTTAATGAAAACAAGCAAGATTAACTTATTGAAAATTTCTATCGAGACGCGAGAGAATTTCGATTTTTTTTCAAAAACATGTGGCATATTCAGCAATTATGACGATAACGACTGACTGTTGGCTATTCTATGGCTCCTTCCATACCGACTCAGTTGATATGTTTGAAGTTAATATTTAAGATTCTGTTCACATTTTTTTCCGTTCAAAGCAAAAATAATGCTCACCAAAGTAAGTCAACAAACATAACTGCAGGAATAATTTACTCCTTATGAAAATAATTTTGGCAGGAACTCTTAAGAACTCAACATCGTCATTTATTCAAGAAAAGTCTTATCTTATAAACATATTCATGTTGGTGACAAGTCGAAGAAAAGTAAAAGAAAAGATATTACGAATGAACATTTAAAATGCATTTCTGATATTTTGTAGGTAAACTACGTTAAGCTTTGGCTATGCAACTGTTTATTGGATTTAAGTGCCTTCCTATGGCCTAAATAGAGCTTCAAATTGTTTCTATGGCATTCCTTATACATACATATATACAAACATATGTTAATCGACCACTCCCTATGGGGGCTTTTCAGGGTCGACTCCCACCCAGCAACCACCCCAGGGGAGGACATCCATCACACAGTAATCTCGTGCGTGGGAAACTAACGTCTCCTACCACTAGCCCTGCAGGAGACGGGACCTCCATTTATTCGTCCCATCCGAGAAGTATCTAACCATTTCTTAATATAGAAAGGTAGCATATTCTTCTCACTTGTTTTAAGACCTTGAGTGTTGGCCCAGCCGGGGCTCGAACCCTCGACCTCCCGCACAACAGTCCAGCGCTCTATCCCTTGAGCTAACTATCCCTTTAAGCTGTGAAGAACGCCAATTATTTTTCAATAGGAAAACAGTTTTGATTTATCTAATACCGTGAAACTCTATCAAATGTCATATTATGTTATAGAGTAGTTAACTGTTTTTAAAAATATTATATTTCTCCTGCTAAAGAGCCTAACTAACATTTATTACACAAATTGATTGAGATCGCGTCATAAATCGTAACCTTGAAAACGAGCCTCTAATAGTTAAACAAATGCGTGTCTAAAGTGATAAAATCATTCCATTCCGAGAATTGAGCTGGTTATCCCTTTAAAACTTTCATCTAGTCTCTGTTGTTTCAAAAACGAAAAACTGAGCGAACCACGGTTTCGCCGTGAGCGGTCTGGGCTAGAATATAAAATTGATAAGCGGCAAGAATATAATTTTTTTTATCAAATCTCTAACATTTAAGACTGTGTTTAAATTAAGCATTTTAATAGGATAATGTAACTGTAACTGATCATAAGAATATTTTCATACGATCTATTCATTCTTGTAACACCATTTTCCCAAAAGAATAGGATATGTCAATATATTTTCAATCAGCACGACCACAACTTTGGAACAATTATGGATAAAATACTCACGTACGTAATCAAATTTAAGTCTTTTCAGTGGTGCAAATTGATTTAAGCTATAATAGAACTACCTTAACAAACAAATGAATGCTAACCGAAAGTAAATTCAAAGAAAATTAACAATACGCAATTGGCATTCTACATGCAAAAATATCAAAGTACAGGTCAGTTGCAATTTTTAAGTGCACTATATTAATTGAGGAAGGTTTTTGATTCAGATGTTATAAAACATTTTCATAAAAAATTAAAGTAAACAAGCTCAAGTCTAGAACTTAATGTTTAAGAACTGGATTTGACATAGTTAGGACTATTTAATTATCAAGGAAGTCATAATTGAGTTTTATCTTCTTTCAAATTAATGAGGCTTCTATAACAATTGTAAACACTTATTACACATGTTGAAAAGTTATACCTCGCCTTTTCAAGAGTACTTTTCAAACACATTTAACAAAATTAAAGGCCATTCGGTTGCATTTTCCAATCACAAATTTGCGCTATTATTGCAGTTTTATTGTCTGTTTGACACTTTTCGACGTCTTCAAAATAAACAATTTCACTTTAGGATTTAGATACTTAAGGCAGCCAATACAATTTTAGAAGTGAAAGATAAACTAGCAGCTCAAAAAAATTAATATGTTTTAATCATCTGACGTCATCTGTTTCCTGTCGGATACGTTAACGAGATCACGCGTGATCACGTCTCGGTTACACGTTTCTGAAAATTGAGAACTACGAAAAGACATTTTGAATGATTTGTCTAAAAAAACACGAAGGACAAACAAAGCATTTTTCTTCTACTTCTAATTCGATGATGTTTTTTGAGAAATGATGACTTTATGCACGCAAGACGAATAGATTTGCCTCGAGGAACACTGGCTATAATGTAAGTGCTCATTTGTTTGGCAGATTTTAAACCTCATCGGGCAAGAAGAGAAGATTTTTATTTTTCCAACTGAAAAGAGCAGAATTTACTTCTACTTCTTGATTTTATCGCGACTCATTTAGCTTGATCTGTTGAGTTGTATAACTTGCATCTCAGCAGGGGTTGACAGTTCTACAGATTTTATGCGATAAATACGAGAGTTATTAGCCTGAGATAAAAAGATATCAGCCTGATCCGCGACAAAGTTAAGAAAAATCCTGTAATACGTGATCAGGTGGAAAGAATTCAATGATATTGTAATTCTCTCCACGCTATATTGATTGGGTAAACACAACCTTCTTTTGAAGAACCTCTTCGTTTGTTGCTTATGGCAGCGAAGCGATGACACCGGTTCAGACTTGAACTCATAAAATGTTTAATTTTTTCCCTTTTAAGTAGAAAGTCATTTCGTCTTCTTTTTTGTTGTTGTCTTGTCTCATTACCTAAAAGCTAAAGTGAGTTTTGCAATCGCATAATTGTATAAACTCTAAAAATTATCATTGTCATCTGTCGCGGTTCTAAAGCTATAGTGTGGGCCTAATATGGTTTTATATTTCCCAGTGTATGACAGTTTGGACCTCAAATTGTCCGTAAATGTTCTTGAAACTTAACGAGGTTTTTTAATTATCGAAATGGTGCATTTACAGGAGATGTACTTTTAGCTGTCCCATAATTAGGGGAGAATTTTTAATGCACTGTCAAATTATTCATCTTCACTGCTTTGTTTCTAAAGTCCCTTGGCAATGCAATTTGCGCCAATTTAAGCAGTTTTATAAAGGGATGAATATATATAATTAATTTTTCTTCGCATTTTAAGTAAATAAACCAAGAAAATTTGTCAGTGCACATAGAAAGCCCTTTTTGCTACATTAAATGCAAGCTAAAAGCGTGTAAAAAGAAAATTTATACGTTAAAGGCACGGGCAGCTATTACAAGATTTTAGTTCAATAGTTTTAGTATTTGTGGTCAGGTGTACGCCTCAATTAACATGGTTGAGAAATTCATTGTTTCCTTTCATTCAGCGCTAAAGCCGATGGGATTTTCGTTCCTTGAGATATTTAGGTTACAGATGTCTTCAGGCCCCCATTCCCCCCTCAAAGAAATGTCCACAGAACTTGTTTTTCTAACAACCCTCGTGCGTCACATTGCAGGCAGTGGCAGATAAAGGGTAGAACGACCAACATCGAGCAAATTATGTTTTGAAAAGAAATTTTTAAAACGCACAGCAAGGTTAAGAAGGTATTGTAAAGGCGCCAGCGAATGGACTTTGTCTTATTGTTGCATAACTTATTTACAGTGTTTGAGGTTTCTAGATACTCAACTCGGCTGGCGTTCGCGTCCGTATTTTATCTTCGTTAATGGCACGAACAGCCGGAGATTTTGACTGGTTTTGATTCTATAGCAGCAATTTGTAAACAATCCATTGTCTAAACGCCATTTCTTCGACCCAATATTTGCTTGGCTGTGAACTCATTTGAAATGTCGCATTTAGCAGAAAAAAGGGTACAATCGAGATGATCAAAATACCCCGTCGTTGTTTGACCTTTTTGTTAGGCTATGGCAAAAAGATTTCTTGAAGTTGTTAGATAAATTCATAACTTCCTCCCCAAATCTCTCATCACTAATGAAATTATCAATGTGAGGATCTGCTCTAGTGCTTTGCTAATATCACCTGCCCCGTGTGCTTGTGCAAATAAAACCGCCATGAAAGTGATGTATTTAATCTGTTCTCCTACAGGGTGTTAGCTCGAAAAAGGTATCTCGACCCTAGTTTTGGACTGATTTAACTCAAGAATTTAAAAAATCGTCTTCGAGACTGATTAAGCACAAAATATCTTTGATTTATGAAATAAATCCATGGTTTAATTGAGCCACTTCATTCATATCGCCAGAAACCGCGAACTGTTAAACGTAGCAGTGTCTCAAGATGGATTTTGGTGGAGGCTCGCAATTTGACGGGTCCGACAGATCCCGAATTTTCATAAATGTCGGGGGATTTCGACACGAAACTCATGTATCTACACTCAAGAATATTCCTGATACCAGACTTTACTGGATAGCGGAGAATCATGACACTGAAACCTCTGGAAAACGAGAATATTTTTATGATCGCCATCCGGGTGCGTTTACACAAATTTTGAATTATTATCGTACCGGCAAACTACATTATCCAACAGATATGTGTGGCCCCATGTTCGAAGAAGAACTTTGCTTTTGGGGAATTGACGAAAAACAAATGGAACCTTGTTGCTGGACCACGTATACAAAACATCGAGAAGCTGAAGAAAATTTAAAAGCCTTTGTTGGCCCTGATTTCGAGCACCTGAAAAGTAATGACCTTGAGAGATCCTCCTCTGACATATCTGGCATCGATGAGAAAAGAGATAATTTTTGGAAAAGAATACAGCCTAAAATTTGGAATATTCTGGATGAACCTCATTCATCTAAGCTGGCAAAGGTGAGAAATAATTATTCTAAAATATTTTCAGTGTGTTGGCAGTTTATTTCTTTAATGACCTGTAGTTACGAAGCGGCAACTTTGCGGTAAGATAAAATTGATTTAGTATTTTTGATAAAACCTTACAGACTTTTTGGAAATGAAAACATGTAATTCATGATAAATTCAGTTGAAACTAATTCTGGTTTTTGAGTTTGTCTGTCAAAGTGTGAGATACAGCCTTCGAAGTTGTAGGGACTACAGCGAGACGGGTTGCTTCATCTAATAGCCAGATGTAACACATTAATTCAAGGAAAGGTCAACATCGGTTTTCCAGAATGGTTACACAATTTTTTAAAAGCTCTACTTGTTCCTTGCCCAATATTTTCTCGTTTCAAAACTGTTTTTGGTTTAAAAGCTACTCCAGAAGGGCAAAGTTTGTTAACGAGATTACAAAATACACATAGCCATTGGCTATGGCTAGCGGCGTGAAAGATCATTAATTGTCTTTTTCTGACCAGTCAGTCTGGCTCGGGGCATCGAAGACTTTACTTTCTTCTTCGTTTTTGCTTCTTCGAAAAAATTCATGGCCATAAGTGACAAAAACGTTTCCGTGTAGCCGAATATTTGCGTAATTTACAGCAGAGCAAAGAAAAGAAATTGACTGACACTTAGGCGCACGAAAAGCCACTTTCAACGTGGAAATTAATAAATATTTTTTTTACACATTTAAGGATTTTTGAGCAAAGGAGAGAAAATAAAAGAAGAAATTTCTTTTAAGCAAACGGTATCAATATTCCAAAAACTTTGGTTTCTGATTGAACTAAGAACGCTGTCCAAGAATTACTTGATAACAACATAATCTATGTCAGATTGTACTTGTAAATAGAAGGCTGTCGGATTGCTTGACGAAAGCGAACCAGCCTCAAATCAACTATCACAACAGCAATAGACCCTCGGAAATATTATGGAAAGTAAGCTCAACCAAACTTTCATCGATGGTCCTAAAATAGGTTTACACAACTACTTTTCTTTGTTATGAAATTTAAGAAAGTGTAATTTCAAGAGAGGGAACTTCGCGAAACACCCTAACTTCGGGTTATATTTCGCACTAATTAACAAACAGTAATTAATTCATGGTTTGGAGAAATCATTTCAACCAATAAGAACACGATGACTGACAGGTGCATATGACGTCACTTGAAATAATCAAGGTTATTAATTGCAATATCTTGGTTTTCTTCCACTGTTGACACATTGCTTAGTGATCTTTTGTCTTTCCAATTAAGAAAGCGAAAATTCAGTGTTCTTAAGGGAAGGAAATTATGTTGTTTTCTCTTAAATTTTTATTTGTTTATTTTTTATTGATATTCTGATATCCATGGTTTCAAGGAATAACACGGTAGTAAATAAGAATACATAGATATTTTCATATTCATTGAACGTATATATTTAGAATTCGATTCAGCGCCTCAGTTTCTCGTATTTGAATCAGCTCTAGAATTTCGGCCGGGTTTCACATGTTCCAAAAAGGCAAATCTGGTTGCTAAAACAAAAGATATAAAAAGCATCACACATTTCTCCTTCTGAAGCTATTACTTTTTTCTTAATTTCCGCGTTTTCCTATCGACTTTTTCAGACTATACTTATTATTCACATCAGGTATCTCAAAAATAAACAAAACCTGTAAAGACAGAGTAGATTAACGGATGGCAAAGTTCAAAACTTAAAAACCCACTTTGAATGAAGAACTTTGTAGTGTACGGTATGAAAACTGAATTATATACTGATGATGTCACTAATGGACAAGCTCTGTTGTGCATGCTTGCAGTAAAAGTGTAGGAGTGTTGTTGCCCAGCATGCTTCTCGTAAAAGGTATTTTTGATGTTGCATGTCGTCTATTTTGTTGCATTATGCATTAGTAAAAACATCATACGTTTTCAGTCGATGATTATCCACGTTCTCTGTCGAACATCAACTTCTTTCTGCAGTGAAAAGTCCAAACGTTTTTAAAATTTACCATAATATCAGTAGAACAGTCGCTACATTCTGCAATATGAAGTCTCTTAATTTCGCGTTGGGAGTTTTTCTTCAGTTTTGTTCAATAAAAAAATTTTATTGAGAAATCAACACATTGCTTAGAAATATTATTACAGTTTGTGTTAAAATTCTTGTGCATTTGGGGTTGAAAAAGTCTACATTTTGTCTCAGAGGGTTAACTACAGTTTTCACCGCATCAAATATTGCGGGGATTATAATTTTATTATCTACGGTGTGAAATTTTATCGACAAATGAAACGCTGCTTTAAAGTATGAGAACTCTAATAGGATCAACGATGCGTTAAATATTGTAACGCAATTGCAAATATTTAATTTTTTCATGTCCATTCTTACCACTTTCTCTCAACAGATCGTCTCATATCTTTCCTGCTTTTTCATCAGTTTGTCAATCGCTGCATTCTGTGTCTCCACATTACCAGGAATTCGAGAGGACGGAGAGATCGTAGGCAGTCCTAATGGATTGTCTGTTCTCGAAATTGTCTGCAGCAGTTTTTTTACATTGGAATTTCTAATGAGAGTTATATTTTGCCCCTCCAAACTATTGTTCTTCAAGAGACCAATGAACTGGATCGATCTGATATCTATTTTGCCATTTTATGTCTCGTTTTTGACGGCTGATGAAAAGGTGAAGATGTTCTTGGTCATTCGAGTTATGCGATTACTCAGGTACGTCAGTAACATTGTAACATCCCGCAGAGACAGCCCATATAACAAATGGTAAACACCACAGCGTACACTATTGAGTTCTAGAAGCACGCGGGAGGTTGCTAAGCACGAAAGAAGCATAACATAACCAAAGTAAAGCGCGCGCTCTGATTGGTCAATTTAGCGTCCCCCATTTGCCCATGGGTGTACGCTGCTGACGTGAGCAAATGCAAAGACTATTTTTCCGCGCGCGCTTGTTTTCTCTGGTCACGTAAGATTTGTTAAATAAAAGGGAACTGTTTAGCTACAATGTATCAATGTTATGTTATAAAACAAATGGTAAACACCACAGCGTACACTATTGAGTTATGGATGCACTTGGGAGGTTTGCTAAGCACTCAAGAAGCTAGAGTCGCTCTCGGCTATCGCCTCGAGCGACTCTTACGCTTCTTTCGTGCTTAGCAACCTCCCGCGTGCATCCATAACTCAATAGTGTACGCTGTGGTGTTTACCATTTGTTAAATTGCCTTATCAACAAACACCTCAAGAAACAAGTGATGTCAAGGAGAAAACTTACCACCTGAAGGGTATGGTTTATCTGGATCTTAGGAGCCGACCATTTTTTGGGGGGGTTGGGTGATTTCTTGTCATCAAGAGATTTTTTTATAGCAATCTGATGTGCAAGATATTTTTTCCGTTGTAAATGCTCTTTTTTCTGTTACATTTGCGCTGCATGCAATGTTTTTCTTCCAACAAGCGCTTGCAGGAAATTTTTTTTCAAAATCACCCACCCCGCCTCAAAAGTTAAATGGTGGGCCCTTTACAGTCCAGAACGCTACCAACTTAGCCAACTCGCCTCCACTCTCACCACCCAACTGAACTCATACCAAATACACTAATTTGATTTGACTTGTCTGATTGCAGATTCGTAAAGTTGTCTTACGGTCTCCAGATTATGATCCATACTCTGAAAGCCAGTTCCCACGAGCTAGTTCTTCTCCTTCTCATGCTGTTGATTCCTGTGGTCATGTTCTCCAGCATTGTGTACTACCTTGAGTTCATGATAAACAATAAGTCAGTCTTCAACTCAGTCCCACAATCCTTTTGGTGGTGTCTCATTACCATGACAACAGTGGGATATGGTGATCTTACCCCACAAACATGGCCGGGAAAAATCATCGGAGGCGCCTGTGCAGTTTGTGGTGTGTTGATCGTTGCTCTGCCGATTTCAGTCATTGGTAGCAACTTCAACTTGTACTATGCGCATGCACAAGCAAGGCTCAAACTTCCAGTCAAGCAGCATCGACTCGTGCTTGGGGGCGTCCCGGGTCTACTCACAAAACATCAGGAGCTGAGCTCACGGAGAAAGAAGAAGTCTTGTGCTTTACCAAACCACGTGGACGTGGAAATGAGCTGTATGACAGAGCGAACATCACTCAGATCCTCAATGCCTCATAGTCCACTCCTAGAGCTGCGTAGAGCCACAGCAAGAACTATACACGAGTCAGACGTAGATCTTCTGACTGCAGATGAAGACGAGAGAAGCGTGTCATCACCGTTACTGAAGCCAAGTCCTCAACTGCACCTGAGAGGTAAGGAAGAAATGATTATTATGTGAATACCCGTCCAATCACTAAGCACAATGTTAATCAAGCGATAATTCTGTCTGTCCGTGTGGTATCAAGTTAACCAACCATGCAGTGACTTAGTCAGAATCGGTCAGTCAGTTGTCGGCCAGCTGGGGTTGGTCGCCCAATCGGACAAACAGTCGATCAGGGGACTCACAGGGGTCAGTGAGTCCCCTGTAAATCTAGTGGGCGATCAGTCAGTCAGTCAGTCAGACAAATGTATGTTCTGTTAGTTAAGAAGTTTTAAATTACTTAACTCAAGCACGTTTTCTAACCAGGGTTTGGAGACAATAACAAAGCAGTGAATTTCCAAGGCCTTCCTAGAAGGAGGCCTCGCCGAACATCCGGGACACTTATGCCCCGAAAAGTGAGCATTCTCCCGGATGAAGAGAGCAAAGGTATACAAAAGCAAGATGAGACATCATCAGAACAACTGTCACATGCTGAGAGGGGTTTTGCGCATGCGGGGTGCAATAACGATAGTCAAGTACCAGTGAATACTCAAATAACACCATTAGAGGTGGAGCAAACTCAGGAATACACTCCACATCCCATTATGGAGAGCGCGGGAAACTCCCCCGCTCATCTCAGTAGCGACGAACAAATGAACTGTACAATACAAAGTGAATTCGATCCATTGGTCTCCGTAGTAAGTTCTGGAAAAGACAATATTCGAGCAAAGTGGTTTTTGGAAGGAAACCAGTTTATAAAACCACGACAAGATGATTCTAGAGGCCAGATCATGGCTAACGGTGATGTTAACTCATCAAGTTGTAAGAGGCCTTCTGTGGACTCTGGAAATAGATCTTCTCAAGAGTCAAATAGCAACCATTTATCCCCGATGGAAACTCCACTTAAAAAACGAAAATCTCTATCTGATTCTCTTCTGTGCGCACTGCCACAAGATGATAAATACTCTTATGATGGAACTTCAAAGGAGGACAACGAAAATGAATTGAAAACTGACACTTTTAGTGGTGCTCGTAAGCAGAATTTTTCCAAGCAGAATGGGTCACCTTTCTCAGCTAAAAAGGCAATTATTAGTAATGGACCCTGCCTTAAACATTCAGATGAAGATATAATTTCCCATCGAAACAGAACAACAACTCATCCATGTTATGAGTCACCGGAGCTGCCCAAGAGAAAACGGAACGCCGCTTGTACGGTGGCAATTTTGTCGGCAAGTGACAGAAGTAGTGAAGACTTTCTGGAAACGAAGATTTAAAATGTAAAAAGAGAAACATGTCAACATACTAACACGTGCCGACGAAAAGAAAAAATTTAGAGGCAACAAACAAAGAAAAAGAATATACGACCCAAAAAGGGATTGATTGTAGCAACTTTAATGCCAAAATTATCGTATCATTGGACGTATTCCAGAATTCATTATATCAAAGAAACTATGTATTTGTAATTACTCCTTAGCGTTAAAACGTTTTTACATCCTAGACAATGGGCCCTAGTTGGACTTAAAATGTTTCTCGACCATTTTAGTAAAACAGTTGTGACAAGAGGGGAACAAGAGTTGAGACTGAATCCTTGATAAAGAAAGCTTCTTTTAAGTTTGCAAATGAACCTTTTTCAATACCTTTTCTTTGAATAATTCTTGTTAAGTTAGTTGTAGATCACGCATGTTTTCCATCACTCTTTTCCCCCTCTATAGATTATAGAAATAACTAGTGACGTGTGTCGAATCTTGTTCACATGAATACCCGAGTGGGTTCTGTTCGTTAGTCACCAAAACATTTAGGCAAAAAACCAGATAGTTTCACCCCTTCGCCAGAAAGACCAGATCGCAGAGCCCTAAAATAACGTAAGAAATAATCGTACCATTTGCGGTAAGGGTAATGTGCTGCAATTTAAGGCAGCTCATAAATGTTTAGATTTTGGGATTTATTAAGATAAACTGTGCTACTTCTCTTTTTCAGTTGATGAGTCTGATAAAGTAAAAAACAAGTGCTTCAGTCTTTTAAATCAAGAAACAATCAATTGTCTTTGACAGATTACTTTAGAAAAAGTATCGCCTGCAAAAATACTTATCTAAGTTCGCTCTATTGCTTATTATAATGGGGCTCGGACACTCTTAAGCAGAAATCGAATCTTCAACCAAAAATCACTCTCATTCGAGAATAAGACTCTTTGCCACGGAGCTTATTTCAAAGTAACTTTTACCATAGGAAAAATTAAGGGTGTTCTTTTGATTAAAACATTTCTAAGGATACTTAGTCAAAGATGCAAATAATGAATGATGATAACAAAATTATTGCTATTTGATGGATTAATTGAGTGATACTGTTATATTTTCATCAACTGATAAGGAAAAGTAGTTTTTGTCCATCAAAGCATTAGTGGTGTCAATTAATTTTTTAAAAATTTGAGCACATGCAAAGTCCAGCCTGGTGTAAAACGTTTTCAGAAGCCATAACTTTGTGTGCGACATCAGTTGCCGCAGTAATAAAGTATTTATCGACTTGACCGCCATTTTCCTTTCAGTCCTGGCTAAAACTGGCTAAATCCTTTTACTGACCAATCATTATTTACCGCCTGGGGGGAGGGGGAAGAAGACTTTGGTGGGGGACTAATCGTCCCTAAAGGAGTTTAAACGGGGGGGGGGGCTATAGAAGATTAACTGCCAATGAATGGTGGATCATAAGAATATCACAGAGCTATATGGGGGGCTCAGCTAAATTTCATTGTGTCACAACCAAAATCCCCCAACCCGCCTTTCCCTTCCCTCCGACAAAAAATGACAAGTCTCTTATTCGGAAGTTCTTAACATTTCTTAATGCGTTCGTTTCAGTTTTAACTGAAGTAAAATACTTCCATTTTCTGAGATATGGGTTCCCATCTAGTCCCTCAAATCCGAACGAGGAACCCTTACGGCAGATCTGCCCGATTTCCGGATGGTTTCATAATACTTGGGATGGGTGTGCCCAGTTTTGGACGATACAGTCCGATCTCGGACGCCTCCGTCCAGTTTTTAAAAGATTTTGTCCAATTTTAGACGCTTCCGTTTGATTTTGGATGCTTCCGTCCAATTTCGGACGGCCTCGTTCGTTTCGGAGAGTTGCGACTGATTTTAGATTCGTCTGTCTAATTTCGGATCTTTCCGTCGGATTTCGGATGCTCCCTCGGAATCGGCCAAAACGGAAAATGATCTCCTTAGAGTAGATCACACCGTCCTACAGGTAAGGAAAAAACATATTTAATAATCCAATTTATATTAGATGTTAACGGGATGACCCCGCAGTTTTAAACGTCAAAATTATTGAGTCATTTTTGCAGACGACTTTGTGATGTTTTTCATCCCGTTCATAAAATATTCATTTATTCCGCGATTATGAATATTTTATAATTTTTCTGTATTTGTGTAGGACACAGCTTCTTCGCTTGTCAATCGGACGACAAGTTGGATATAAAAACTTTATGCGGAACAGAAATGGCCAATACGAAACGGATTCTTGTACCCATAGACGAAAAGGAACATTGTGTGAGAGCTTTTGACTGTAAGTATCACATGCACGAGCAAAATGTTTCACACGACCCCGTCATTTTGGATGGTATAACTTCTTGAAGTCCGACTTTCACGTAACACACCCCTTACATTGTCTATAGTATCTTTTATAGGCGTAAATCAACCGCCAGAAAAATGAACGCTCTTTTTGTTTGCGTGAGTGAAATGACACAATGGAAATCCAGCAGAGAGCCTGATCTCTTCAACAGAATTTACCTCAGTTTGAAACCGGAGAAAGGCATGCTCACGGAAACTGAATAGTTGAAAAATAATTTTCAAGAAATTTCCAAATTTCAAGCGTACTTTTGACACACGATTTGATTCAAGAAATTTTAAAGTTTAGCAGTAATATTTTGGGTAAGAACGACCTTCTGCCAAGTCTACCGGGCAAAAGATGGCATATGCAAAATGGCCTCTCTGCGCTTGCAAAATTAGGCTCGTTTGATCAAAAGTCTAGCGTTTAGGTATAAAGATACAATGCAAAATACGAAATTTTCTGATCCTCGCAAAATTCGCAGAATTATTCTATTTTTGTTTGACACATCGTAACAGCAAAAGTTGATCTCGTGATCCCCTGCTAATTCATGTTATTAGCTTGTTTTAAAATATTATTTGAATGATGAATGTGGTTTAACTCGAGTAACTTCCAATGCAAAAGAAAAACCCGCAAGGAGAGTAAAACTCATCACTTTCCGTCATATTAATAAAATTTTTACAACTTGTAAAAAAAAAAAAAGAAAACAACATATTGAACGAGAAGTATGGTGTTTCATCCCAGAAAAAACTCTTATTTTAACTGGCTACATTTGAAAACCTGAATTTTGATTTTTGCACTTTGTTTTTCATGGAGAATACAAACGAATTTTCCTTGTCCATATTTGAAACTGCGTACTAAGTTAGCGTGCATAAAACTAGATTCATACATAATTCAAGCTTTTAAAAGAAAGTTGCCAAGGATTTTAGTACACAATCGTGTTAAAATCTTCTTCCGACATTAGGTGAAGGGTCCTAAGGTAATGAAAAGGTTTTATCACAAGCTCTCTAAAGAAAGCATACTGTCTCTCACATTTATTCAATTTTGACATACTCTCTTGACAACTTAGTTCGTTAAGCCAAACAAGCGAAAACATATGACTAATACTTCAGCTGCTAAGACAATAAAAAAAAAACCGAGGAGAAAATTTTGTTCGTTAAGATTAAATTTCAGACGATTTTCAGAATTAGAATCAGCTTTTTGACCGCATTTTACATTTATCTTTTGATCTAGACGAGAAAACATATCCCGTTCGCCTTTCCCGGCGAGAAAATTAGTGATAAATGTCAAGTTCCCCCTCAACCCGCGATATGACATAATGACACATTGCAGCTGCTCAACTAGCAGAATATTGTCAAGCGCTTTCAATGGATGGTAGATGTCCATTAATACTAAATAAACATGCTGTTATCTTGTAACCTAATTCATTGGAAATAAATTTTTGTCCAAATTCACCGTTGTATTTGATTGACAGACCTGAGTCGGCTTCTTCGAAATCCATTTAACACCCGAGTTAAACAGTGTTTACATAGAAACTACACGTTAGCAAAAGCGAAAGGCCAAGATAAGGGATATGATGTGGGGTGGAGGGGCTAGTGGAGTAAGCGACCTTCTGCTGCTCTTCTCTTCTGGAAGCCTTCTCGTTCCCAGTCCCTTACACTGACATCTATGAGATAGTTCCTAAAGCGCAAATGTTCTTATTGTTCTTTCTCCATCAGGGTACGTAGAAAATTATAGACAAGAAAGACAGGAAATTATCTTACTTCATGTTTACAACTCACTTGATCATGTCAAGCAATACTCTAAGGACGATTCGCAAGGTGAGTTTAGTGACTTGTCGCGCCACAGTTGTTGGCTGCTTGGTCGTCAGGTGACCATATAAAATATGAAATTTTCATTTTGTTAAAACAGATGCATCGGAACTTCAAGTTGATGAAATGAAGAACATTTTAAGGGCAGCAAATGCGCAAGCTTCAGGCATGCTAGAGGGATTTGAACAAAAATGCAAGCATTTTCAGGTTTGTCAAACTCTACTTCTTAAAAAAAGAACAATTGACCAATATACCCACGCTAAAGAATTAGACTCCCCCCCCCCGCCGAATAAATAGTCCACCTGTGCTAATTCTTGTACGGTGTACTTCACCTTTGGTAATACTAAAAACCAAGCTTTACAAACCGGACCCTCCGGTGAAGCCATCGCCCGTCCGCCTCTAGAATTAAACGCAATTTAACACTAACCGTTTGTTCATTTTCAGATGCCGTTCAAAACCAGAATTGAACTCGGGTCACCGGGAGATGCCATTTGTAAAGTAGCTAAAGAAGAAAATATCACCTGTATTGTACTCGGAAATCGTGGCCTCGGTGCTTTCCGGAGGACCATCTTGGGAAGTGTGAGCGATCACGTGGTTCATCATTCACGGGTTCCGGTTTTACTTGTCCCCCCAACGACACATTTTTGAGGGATCGTTCTAAGGAACTTTATCTCGTTCTCAGATTTAATTCCTGCGATTGGAATCTACCTTAAGACCCCTCCGTTAATTTATGCAGATGAAGAAAGGCTTTAAAATAATGTATATCTGAAAAATGACGGCTTGTCAGGAAACAAAAACGATATGAAGGTTAGAAAAACAACAAAGCAACTGGAGAAGAATAACATTAACTGACAAACATTAAACAACAAACTTGAAAAACTCAGGCTCAAAAAAAATCTGGAAATACTTACTCGATCTAAGATGGTTTATCACCTCTCCAATAGAATACGATCTTAATTGTATAACTATGTACTGAGGATGTTAAATTGGTAGACCACAGCAACTGAATGTTCGTCAATCATCATGAACCCAAACCCAAAGAAATTTAACGAAGACTTTATTTATGTCTTAGCATCCTAACAACGAATCCAAAAAGAGATTATACTTCTAATTTCTAGAAGTTAATTGTTGATTAATTGTAATCTCAATGGCTAATCAACTAAGTTTCTTTGCATCCCATGTAAGCCAACAATATGTTAAATTATTTGTCGTTTACTCCCTGCCTTTCATCGTCTAAGGACATTTAATTTTGCTAAATACTTTTTCTTGACTCATAATTATCAGATTCCCCATTAGCGTAGTTCCTTAATTAATACAATACAGCGTATTTCAACGATGAATTCTGATAGTTTTTATCACTCTTACTAGTTATGTTGTCATGTCATATGTCACTAAGACGATTATTTGGTCAAAACATTGAAATCATTAAGAATAAATATTATGAATTAGAATTTTTTCTAGTATCCTGAAAACAGCATAACTCTTAATTCAGGCCTCAATTTATCTCTTAAGACATTAACACTACCTCCTTGGCAGCCGATGTTTTGTCTCGTTACGAAACATGCCGTTGCGTGACGAACCTGTTACGTGACATGACCTGACAACGGTCTCTATTGAATCGTATAAAATCGGTTATCGTTGCTGTTTCGTTCCCCTCTCACGCACTTGGTAATAGCGCATTTTCCTGGCGAGAATTCTTCGTGCTGTCTCTTGGAAAATGAATGATGGGTTAGAGTTCAAATAAACCTTTTTATTAGGGTATACTCTCCCGCGAAAAAACGATTTTGCAAAAATTAAAATTTTTGACACTTTCCCTTAATATAGTACGTCGTATGGTAGCAACATAGTGTGCTGAGGTTGTTTGAATTGGAACCATTGCTGTCTATCTCGAAAATCACTAATTTCACACTCACTGTAAGATAGCAGTAGCGCGAAACAAAAATTTAAAATCGATTTTTCATAAACCCATAAATTTCATACTCTGTTTCTTGTACCAGCTTGCTAAACGGTATGATCTATCAAATGTTTTTGTTAATTATTAATTCTTTTGAAGTACACTGTTTGGGTTTTCCAAATAAGCGGAAGCAACTGGGCTATGAAATGAAAATATCTTGTTTTCAATATTGATTTTCTCACAAACACGTTGCTATCATCGTTCGCAAAGCATCACTTTTCATCAGGAAGAAACCGTCATAAAAAAATGCCATCGATATCCCCAAGAAACATTTTGGTGGCAGTGGATGGAAGTGTCTACAGCGAGAGGGCTTTTGCATGTGAGTATATAAAAAGGCACCGAAATGTTTTTAATACTGCTGCAGACTTCAATCTGAAATCAATGGTATCGTTTTGAGCTCAGCGTGAGGTTGCAACCGTCAGATAAAACTTCTTGAATTTAAAGCTGAATTACATTTTTACGCAATACGTATTTATTAGATGTTTTCTCGCTGTGATAAGCTTATGGCATGATATTTAATGCTGCTTTGTCACAAATCCCGCTAAATTTGTTTCAGTTTCTAAGCAAGAACAAAGTGTTTGATACTTCCAAGGCCGCTCTCATTTTTCGGTACGTTTATTTACGCGCATACCAGCAAGATTTTTTCAGGAGTTCTCGCTATCCTTGTTAACAATCTAGCGGAGTTCTGCAACTACCTCACGCATTGACACAATTGCCGATGTACAGAAATAACTTTACATCAAATTTTTTATCACAAACTTCTTAAGTTTTAGATATTTTCGCTACAGCTTTGAACGTTCCTGGTATCCAAACCTCTCCTATGTAGAATATATTAGAGCTTGTCTTTTTTCGGAATGAAAAGCGGATAACTTCGAATACCAAACATTAGAAGCTGATGGATTCATCAACCTCGTAAAAGCGACGTGACTGGAGGCACGGTCAAGGCGTTATTCTAAAGAAAAATTGCTGGTTTAGGGAAAAAATTGACCGTTAAGAAATCAACTGTTTGATTTGCTTTTTATTAGCTGTAAGATGTCCTTTTCACAAGGTGCTTTATTTTTGTTGAAAGGAAAATAAAAAATGCAGTGTTTTGTTTTGTTTTGTTTTGCCACAAGGCTGGCGTGAATTAGCATTTTGGTTTCGGCCATACACCAGTCAATTATTGTTATCATTTCAAGATAGCGTGCACCTGCTCCAAGCCTCTGCAGGTGTCCGTGAAGCCCTCGGAGAGTGGTCGGGAAAACTTCGGGCTTTCGACCGTTTGTAAAAGCCTAAACGGAGTTCGCAAGAAATTCTGATACTAAAATGGATCGTGAAAAATACGAAGGTAACTGTTAGTTTGAAAACAAGGATTATTTTGTTTAAGACGTTTCCGCTACAGGTGTTTCTGCTAGATATGTTTTCTGAATTGCAGGGTACGCTAATAAATTCCGACAGGAGAGAGACCAGGTGGTGTTTGTTCATGTTTACGAGTCCCCGATCACTCCAGTACCAACATTTGCAAGTAAGAATGTGTGTAGCAATAATTTCTATTCAGTGCAGTCCCTAAGCACCAGACCCGACCGTGACGTCACGAGAAGATAGAGATTAATAGAGAGAACCTGGGAACTAGGCCAAAAAATGCAATAGGGAGAGGTAAATTTTTTTAAGTTCATTTCAAATCAAGGTCTAAACGCCACCGCCGTCTCTGTCCGAGCCTCGATTCGTAATGCTGCCCAAAACGACAGCAGCCTTCAGAAAAGTAACGCACTTGAAAAAATTGGAATGTTTAACTTTCCTAGGGTCACGCAAGGATAGTAACCCACATAATAAAGCCTGATAGGCGATAAAGAAACAACAGTGGAAAAAGTCTTCAGTGTTTGGAAAATAGTGTGGTCAATTATACAGTTGTTATGGTACTTGTTATGGTAAGGTTCTTACCTTTATGTCATAGATTGTATGAGTATTCCACCGCGAGAAGAATGGGAACGAATGTTGCAAAAGGCAGAGCAACAGGCAGAAGAGATGCTATGCGGCTACGAGAAAAAATGCACGGAAATGAAGGCAAGTACTCCATACCCATTCTTCATTCGTCAGCATAAATCAACAAAATAAAACCAAAAAAGAAACGGCGTGCTCGTTTTCTTCTTTGCAGCTGCCTTTCAAGACTATCTACGCCTATGGACCGATTGGTCATGTGATCTGCACCGTGGGAAAGGAAGAAAAAGCCGAATGCATAATTCTAGGAAGTAGAGGACTGGGAACCATTAGGCGAACAATCTTAGGGAGTGTCTCCGATTACGTCACTCAACACATGACCATACCAGTTTTACTAGTACCTGCTGCGGAAAAACGCTAACGTAATCAATTGCGTCAGCAGTTACACTCATACTCGTTACAACCCCTGTTTGCGACGAGACTTAAAATTTTCCTTTCAGGTCAAAAAGGGATTATTATAAAAACTATTATAAAGGTGTGAAAGATGATGATAACCAATGTTACAAAAATTCATTTTTTCAATTATAATGAGACTTCTGCGGGGTTGATAAAATAGGGAATTTAAATCAAGACAAAACAAATAAATTAACAATCATATATACCTTTGGGTGTTTTATTATGAAAGGTAATATACAACCTTTTGATATATATACACGTTACTCTCGATAATAAAAGAGTACGAAAGCTTAAAATAATGTTAGAAAACTTTCCCCACACACATATTTGGAAAAATGATGAGATAGTCAGTATCTAGAACACACAGCATTTAAAAGATGGACGCTTTGCATCCTTGCGAAAAAAAGGAACGACAAACTGAAAAACAACTGATCGAGTTTCGAGATTTTGCCAAAGGCAAACCAAATATTCTCATCGATGTAAGGTGTATATAATCTTGCATACAAGATGACACAACACAAATCCGATAAAAACTAAAATAGTTAATAGAGTTTTTTTTGTAGGTGTTTTTTCACATTCAAGTATTCTCAATCGCGATGGAGATCATTAAACATGTACGGTTAAAATTACGCACGGTAAAGTGTATCCAATCTGCTACTGTTCGCCACAGTTTTTGCATCCAATTCAAGTATTCTCAATCGCGATGGAGATCATTAAACATGTGCGGTTAAAATTACGCACGATGAAGTGTATCCGATCTGCAAACTGTAGCTAAATACCTTAACTGCCTCTAAACAATCCCCTAAAATTGCATTTCTTAATGGAAATGATCCATACAAAAATAATTTATAATACAAACGTACCGGATTAAAACGACAGTAATTTGTACATACAACCACAAAGTTTCTTTCGAATCTGCAAATCAGTGTTCGAGATAATTTCTCTTGCACAATTTACAATTCCCTTTGTTTTTTTTTTTTTCTCCTGTTGGTACACGCTTTAAGGGGACCTTAACACTTTCAACTCTGGAAAAAACTCTTCAAACCACAGTAAAATATTCCACCACTTCCCTCGTCTGTAAACTTAACGCAACCAACTTACGACTTCGACGCAATATGAACGAAATTTGAACGCGTTCCGTGTACCACTGACACTGAAGGGAAGCTACTGTTCGTCACAGTTTGTGTAACTTGAAAAACATTTCCTCATCCGTTCGAATCCCGTTCATTCTAAGTCATCCTTGCTCATTCATGGTTTATCAATACCACGTTGTTGTTGTTCGTCTATTTAATGGAATCAATATTTTGCGGTTTCCTTCCAACTGACGTTCGTTTTACTGTTGCAAAAGAGTCGACTCAGAGCATCATGACGTAGGCCCTTTGAGACCTACCAGGTACATTCTTAATTCAAGACACATACAGGATCATGTCCTAAAGATCACTATTCCATAACATTAAGTCACCCTAAAACTAACTCCCCGAGACACTTCTGTTTCCCAAGCTTTACCAGTAAAGCAAAGGAAACCGCGAGATCTTCAGGTAGACTTCTAAAAATAATTCGCGTCACTCTCTCTGTGTGATAGACAGAAGCGATAGAGTATGTGAACTTCACAGCCTTGTGTGACTGTCACAGCGTCATGTGACTGTCATGGCGTTGTGTGACCTTCACGGCGTTGTAGAACAACGCAAAAAAAACATCCTACGAAGAACTTTATATATTTCGGTGATCACTCGATACTCTTATTTTTCTTAAAAACCTGATCATTCTGAAATATAAGTCTTACTGATAAATTAACGTTCGTGATAAGTTGGTTATCTATACAAAGACAGTAAAAAAGTTCTCTTTTTACAACACGACCATCCTGAAACCCTGCGACTATTCAAATCAAATTTCAAAACCAATCACTCGTTCTACAACCGCTCTATATCCCAGAATCCCACATTAAATTCTTTACACTTATATAACTCGTGACCAAGGCATCCTGCTTAACTAGCTATACCATTCAACAGAACACTACCTGTAAAAATACAGTTACCTTTGCAAGATGCGGCCCTCCCCGCCCGGTTCACTGAAAGCCGATCAGCGCTAATTTCTGCTCTAATCTCTCTTTAACAATAGATACCACAGAAAAAGGCGGAGTTACCCTACGCCTTCATTTACTGACATCATTTGTAAGAGAAACCTTTCGATAATAAACTACTGAGAAAAATACACAGGCTGAGACAAAATCCATCACAAGGCTTTGTTCTGGAGGTAACCCCTTTAAACCTATTCTTAGATCACCCCAGTTTTCGGAGATATTTGAGGGAATTGCTAATGACAATTCTAAGATGCAAATTTTATTCACGTGGGTATCCTAAGCAACGATTCGTTCTCCATCAAAAGAAAAGGTAAAGGTTCGTTAAAACATTGCTCGGACATAGTTTGAGTTTAAAAATAGCTTGATAGGAATTACTACCAGAATAAAGGGAATCAGTGTTAAAGCTTGAATTAGCTTACACCTCTAATGAATTAGCCAGCCTGATCTACCTTCCGGAAGGGTTCTGTTCAACAGACTGAACTTGCAGTCTGTTGAAGCCAATGCTCAGCAATTCAGTAGGACCTGATGAGTATCTGGTAATTGGTTATGTTTTGGCCAAAGCCGCCAAGTTCAGCGCTCTACTGCTCACGCGTGATGACGTCATACGACTGAAAAAGAAAAAGTTAATAACACTTAAAACAATGCTTTTAATTAGTTATGAAGTAAGAATGATAAAGGGCAATTATTTACTTATTTCATTTTTTTTAATGGAGTAGTCGGATTCGAGCAAGAGGAGTTTTGTTTTGGTTTTAGTGGCACAAACCCCTCGACATGGAGTCTAACGCAGTAAGCACTTGATCAACGCTTTAACCGTCCTTTAACCGGAATAAACCGGCTTTAACCGGAATGAAACGCTGTTTGATTGGTTATTACCTTCGTAACATGTGAGATGACGTCCTTGTAGTTCTTCTCGGCAGAGCAGAAACTTTGGATGTTTTCAGCGGTGACATTACTGACTGCATTGTCGACGCGTTTGCAAGTCTGTGAAAATATCAGAGAAACATCACTATCTTGCTGATTACAACAAATTTTTTTAAATAGTATTTTGTTGTCATCTATAATTCGTGTCAATCTTGCCCATCCTCAAGATGACGTTTCTATCTTATTGAGCTAATATTTTGTAACAGGAGTACAAAGAGTAGGTGAACCACAATTTTTCGAGGCGATATCAAGGTGGAAGTTTGTCGCACGTTTTACTGAGCTACGTTATACTTACTTCAACGATTGCCCGGTCGTAGAGCGAGTGTGACCTACTCTACCATCCTCCAATCTGAGAGATAAAAAGGAAAGCTTTTATCAACAAAACTAATTTAATAATATGACCAGAAGGTACTATACATTACAAATACACGCCTCACATAGTGAATATTATTTTTCTGTCTGTGCAACAGTTATGCTTTGCAATGTGGTGCTAACTCTTCTGTCCCCGGATGGAGTTACACAGAGTGACCATTCAGAAGAAAACTTCTTGAATGTGAAGCACTTTTCGATTAAGTTACGTAAAAACCAAAACCAAAGTAATCACAACGGCCAATCAGAGATAGGAAATTACCTTTACGAGCCAATGAGAACTCACAGTAAAAACAACCAAGCTGTCTAAAGCGCGGAAAAACGCGTGCGGTAAAGTCGTGATTGGTTTTCGTTTTGTATCTGATTGGTTGAAAGAGTGGCGTGACTATTCTGGACCAATCACAGAAAAATCAAAGTAACCTCGGATTATTTTCGACACAATTGTAAATTGCTGTAATACTGTTTATTGTGCTTTTCTACTTAGCTCCAACTTTCTAGTTTTCAAATGAAACCCTTATTGACGTTATAGTATCAATGCTAATTCAAACGGTAAGGTGACGAGAGAAAACAAAATGATCGCCAACAAAAGAACTTCTTGATTGTCAAACAAATTCTCCTTGTCAGCACCTAAGACAATGTCTAGAGAACAGTATGGAGAACACAGATACTGATGTCAGAATGGAAAGGGTTGAGTCATTTTTTACAACCCAAAGCTTAAGAAAGTTATCTTACTTTAATGCCCCGGTTGTTGCCGATCGCGGATGACGTAATGAACGGCTGGTCTTCAAGCGCCTTAGTTCATCTCCTTGTGTTGGCTCCTCGTTGTCATTAGAATCTTTACTGACTGTTACCTCTTTGGAGGAGAGAATGCTGCTACGTTCACTCAGCAAAGACGCGCTTGAAGTGGGTGTGGCTCGTAAGATGGGCGTAAGATCCTTGAGAAAAATTGAATAAAATAAGGGACTGTTCAGTGTAAAACACGCTATCGTAAAATTTTAAGTATTTTTGTTTGAATCATTGGTTTTATCAACTGAGTCGTATAATGTAAATTGGCCACCGTAAAGAGTTTCTAGCGCCGACGTTTCGTGCATTATCTTTTCGTCTACATAAAGGTTGCATATATTTTTGCAAAGCACAACAAAAAAATTCAAACATTTGGTTAAAGCTCCTTCAATGAGCTGCTTGAGAGTGATGTTACCTTATACAATTTGCCCGGCCTTGTACTGATGGAATCTTCAATCTTGATGGTGTCCACTCCACTAATAAGTCGGCTTACACCACATCGATCCACTGATTTTTACGTAACAAAAAAAAAAAAAAGAAACATTAAATTACAAGGTTGTTCCATAATTGATCAGTTTGTGGTACACGCATCATTTAAGGAATTGTTTTAAAATTAATACAAACTCTATCTGCAAACCAACCTTTTTCTGTCTTCTCTTTTTCTCTTGACCTAAAAATGTCCCCTTGTATCCACAAACTAGCTTGTTTTCTGCAGAAAAGGCATATAAATACATTGTAAAACAAGTTAAACGGTTTCAAATCTTAAATACTACTTGTAATTAAAATGAAGGACCTAAATGTACACATTCGATGGACTAAAGGTTGGGCTTTGTGACTTTCCTCCGAGCTAAAAGTGCCATTTAGTCTTTACATCTGTCATATAAGTGGAGAAAACAAATGAACCACTACACTCACTCTTCTAAAAAGTTCTGCTGTGGTCCAATAACTGATCCAGGACGGCAAATTCTGCGAGTGAAACACCAAAAATTGGACGCTGTAAATCTATGATCACATTGATAAAATTTTAAATGCCCGTGATTTTTCCAAGCAGTAAGAGATTTTTCTATTCATAATTCTCTCTACGTACTTCTTTTAAGTAGTAATAATATCACATCTTACCTTAACCAGGCAATAGCTTCTGCAGCAGTGAATCTGTAGTGCTTGATCAAGTAGCACGCTATTAACGTTCCAGTTCTACCAAGACCAGCTGAATACAGGAAAATAAAACAGTGAGTCAAGAGAAAAAAACGTGTACACCAAACTACATTCAATCAATCCTTTAGACCCCAACACCAGTATGCATATTTCCCACAGTATTGACAAGGGCAATTTGTTTAACAATCGAGGCTGTTAAGTTGATGTTCATATCCTTATTTCTCATAACATTTGTGTTTGATTTAACAGTAAAAATGTAGGGAGATTTAGTTATATACCAGTTTGTCTAAGGAGTTTCAACTGCCATTTCAGACCCAAACTTACATCTACTTGACTTACTCACTGAGCATAACATGTTAGAAACAATCATGCAAGGTACAAGTATCCACTATCAGAGATTCTTCTACATTCATATCCTTACTAAATACATGATATATGAAGCAGCCTTTGAGTTCACAAATTCTGAAGTAATGATGATTGAGATAGGGGATGGTCAGAAAGTCAATTGTTCTTCTCTTGCTCTGGCATCAAATTAAGGCATGTTTGAAACCAAAGGTTAAAAGAGGAGGAGAAACAGCTTTTTCCTTGGTTGCAGCAGTCCTGGGAAAATATGAATCCTTACCTTTACAGTGAACTGCAACAGCTCCTTTGGCATTTTCTGCTACTGTCAAGAAACGCCTGATGAGCAAGATATTTCATGTCAATATGGGGAAAAATGGTTCATTAGTGGAAATGTATGAACACCCAAAAGTAAGGACTTGGTAAAATTAAACTTCACATGTAACAGAACTTTGTTCAAACTGAGACTGCATCATTCTCAACATTATTCTGCTAAAGTCCTTGCCAGGCTCAGTGAGGATGAGAGAAAATCTGTTTTTTATTCTTTTTTTTTTTGAAGGAGTCCTTCCTTTGCTGTTGTAAGTGCCCACATGCATATCCTCTCGCCTGTCCACCATTCCCACTCATCTACACAAACTGATTGCCCAGAACAGGACACTCATTAACAGAAAATTTCTCCATTTTTTGTTTACTGTAGAATGGTTAAATTGAGTGGTGGTTTAATTTCTAACAATATGCAGTATCATCTTTGACTGTAAATAATATTTTTTAAGGTTTGATTTGTGCAGTAAATGTTGTTTTGTAGTAAATAATTCTGCGTTTATTGGATTTGTGTGTCACATTTATAAATTCAAGATGGCCGCCGGCCAACTCCAACTTCGCGATGTTTAAATTTTGCGCAAAGTCCCCTTGCGCGAAAATAGCGAAAATTGAACAACGCTAATAATTAAACACTTTACAGTAACTCAACAAAAAACATGCCACTTCGATATTAATGACAAAAAAGCAACAATAACAAGAAAACAACCAACCTGACAATCATGTCACTTGGCACACTGCCGTCAACAAAGAACAGGTCAAAATGTTCAATACCATGATCTGTAAACCTCTTTGCATCATAAAATTTCTTGTTGAGTCTCACAACTGCTGTAACATTGTGCTTTTTAAAGTAAGGGATGTAGGCTTCTGGGGCATGCAGCGGATAACCTTTAAGGTAGAAATGTTATTACAAAAATTACTGTCACAATAGAATCAATTTTGGTACTAAGAAGAAAGAGTTTGACCCCAGTCATTAACCCTAACATCTGCATCCATACTATTCCCTATACATTTCCTTTGGTACTTTCAAGGAGAATTGGTGCAATAATCAAAGCTTCTTAGTTGGTGATCATTCCCTTTATTCTCAGGATGTTAATGAATGATTCAGCAGTATTTCTGTTAGGAGAAATTAAATGCTGGTCACTCTTAGAGTTTAAAAGGTGAAGATAACTGTGCGACCATGAAGCATGATTCAGACTGGTTAAGAGTAAGTATGAAAATATACTAATAGTTAAACCGCCCAGTTAGCCCAATGGATAGTGCGCTGGGCTGTTGAGTGGGAGGTTGAGGGTTTGAGCCCCGGCTGGACCAACACTCAAGGTCTTAAAATAATTGAGAAGAATTTGTTACCTTTCCATAACATCAAGAAATGGTTAGTTATTCTAGTCTTATCGGATAGGGACGAATAAATGGAGGTCCTGTCTCCTGCAGGGTTAGGGGTAGGAGACATTAATTTCCCACACATGAGATTACTGTGTGATAAAAAACGCCCCCAAGATACTAGACAAATCTTCTCGACTTTATTTTGTAAGAAGAAACCGAATGTTACAATGTTCAGATATTAGATTATGGTATATTGGCTCATACACCATAATGGCTAAGCCAATAAAAAGTCTTGAATTGCATTATCCAATGATCTAGTTTTTAATAATAACCAATTATACAGTATTTAAGAATTTTGTAATAGTTCTTACTATCAGATATAATGTGGCTCTTGTAGTTTAATCACAAGTCAGTTGTAAATGCTTACCATTCTCAATTCTACTCTTATTGTGAGGTCCACTAAATGCCAAAAATTTATCTGAAAAATAGTGCGATACAAAATGAGTTTGGTATGTTTGATAAACAATTTACTTTGCAAATTTAAGCTCTGTACACTTTTAAGTGGTAAGACTACTGTCAAATCAAGGACATTTTTTATTAATTCATTGACACAGTATTTTGTGGCCATCTAATAACACTGAGTTATCCATTCTTCTAACCTGGTAACAGCCAGTTGAAATCCCCATTTTCAATTCGCTGTGAGAAAGAAAACTTTTTGAGAATACATCGAAATCTTATAAATGAGTTATCATAATAATAATAATTACAAAAATGAAAAGAATAATAGTAAAGAGAAAAATAAGTTTTAAAAAATTTAGAACATGCAAATTTCTGTGCAGATTTTCTTGTGTGCTCAAAAATTAAAAAAAAAATGTCAGAAATTAAGTCATGATCTCACTGGAAAACCTAAGATTGCAAAAAAAAAAAGCTATAATGATAATATTGATTTATGGCTATTGAACAAAAAATTTATTAAAAAATTTAACCACAAATTTCACACTTCTCACCTCATAATGTTCGTACTCTTCCACATCAAAAGTTTCAAAGTTAAAAAATCCATTCTGTAGTGCCTGAATGATACATATATAAAAAAACTTTTACAATGTACAACTGAACCACACATCTGTAAGACTTGCATGTATACAAACCTTGCACACACAAAAACAAAGAATTATCATAATAATTATCAATCTTTAAAGATCAAATCCTGGCTACAGTTACTAACATGGACAACAATATTTCATGATTTAGTTAAGTATCATCAGTCTCCTTCTCAAGTTTACCTTAAGTGTGTTATATAATTTATGCAGTAAACTAAATCATGTTCTTGATATTAAAGACCTTGACAATGAAAACAAACATGGATAATTGGCAGGTATGACCATGGATTTCAATATTTCAATTTGACATTGTATCAAAGTGCACGTAATTAAAATTGTTCTTGTACCTTGTAAAGGCCATTTAAAACATCCATTAGGGAAAGATTATATGAACATGCTCCAAATGATGCATCTCTGTAAAGAAAACGAATATCATTTCAGTCTATCTAATTTTTTTGTTACATAATTAAAAACACTAATGAGTGGGTATATTTTGCTCTAATTCACATTCTAAATGCATTCAAGCCAAAGTCTACAACAACAACAATATTGGGTTTTGAGCTTGCATTTACATGTACCTGTAAGAACCAGATAATACTACAGTGCATTCCCAAAAGGGCTAAATTAAATCTAAATTACTAATGAATCAAGGTAGAATTTTTTAACACTGATAAAAATAGGGTGAAAAAATATCGTTTGACTGTACCAATACCACATACTTAGATGACACGCATATACTAATATATGGTATGAGTGCATGCATATCATCCTCACGTAATACATGGACACACCTAAATGGAAGAAATGGTGGGTTGCAACCATTAATTATCAGAGGTCTATAAGACTCTTCTGGCGTTCTCTTCAGGTGGATTATCTATGTAAAAAAAAAAAAAAAAGCAAGATACACCAGTTTTTACATTCAATAATTCAAAGTTAAGAGGTAAAAGTAAGTAACTCCATGGACTCTCTCTCGCTGCCACTTAAGTTTTTGTGAAGGTGGGGTGCAATTGCCTTACTCTTACAGAAAAGGGATATCCGAGCTTGGTCATTCCATAAAAAAATATGTTCTCAAAAGTATATGGGGAAAACAAAGCATCTGAGTCTCTCACAAGGAATCAAAGCCAAAACCTTCAGATTCCACACTCTGAGGCTGATGCTCTCCCACTGAGCCACAGAACTTCATGATAAACTAAGCCACTACTAGCATCATATGCCACAAGCCTTCAGATTCTATACTCTGAGGCTGATGCTCTCCCACTGAACCACAGAGAACTTCCTGATAAACTAGGCCACTACTAGCATCATATGCCACAAGCCTCCTACAGCCAGCTAGGATCAGCAGTGTTGAAAGTTTCATGTGAGTTCTTTAATTCTATTAACTCACTTGATGCTTTCCTAATTACTGATGTTTCATGATAAATAATGAAAATTACACTGACTAGTGTGCAATTTTGTCCGAGATTATAGCCCTGTTTCAAAATTTAATGAACCCACAGTGCAAGTTTGAGTTGAAATCACAATACTTACTGAATATGATGCAATCAAATATGCGGCATTTGCTCTCTTCCTGCTATCAAACGAGGTGTAATGAACGATCTTTTTCTTTGCTAAAGAGAAAGACTGCAAATACAAAAAATTACATTAAAATGACTATCTGAGAACTGGAACAAAAAAAATTTAACAATATACGAAAAAAAATACACTTCATTTTCAACAACAAAATAAGAGCAGGAGAAATTTAAAGATTGAGGAAATGTCTTCTAATAAGCCAGACTAGTCATACCCTTGTTTAGCAAACCTTTAACTTTATAAACACTCGATTAGCCCAGAGCTGAGAAATGTCTCACTTAAATCTAAGCACACAATTATTCTACCCGATCAATGCTAAATGGAAAAAATGAATGCTTCAAGTATCACAGAGTTCTGCTTTTATCCCTTAACTCAAAGAAAAACTAAACTGTTAGTCTGAAATTGAAAATACCATGTGATGATGTTGAAAGTATCACCTCTTTGAAGTTTATATCACACAGTAATTGTTAATTTTCAATTAACTATCTTTATTAACTAATCAGATTACAATAAATTTAATACAAGTGGAAAAAATGGGATTTTTTTAACTGATATTAGTAGACAACAAAAAACAAAAACTGCTCTGATTTCTTAAAAACCAAAGAGGAAATTTAGAACTGATATCTTCTTATAGATATCTCATATGTTTGGCATAAAAGAATAAGTTTTCAAATCATTTAGATAGGCAAATATTAAGAGCAGGAAGGAGGACAGCTTCCATGCGGAATGCAGGAATTTATCAAGTTAATCGACTAGTGCATACTGGTGCATACCAACCATGAACACCCTTTTTAAATGTCAACAAAATTATTGACGTTTCATTCACTATTCAAAATCAAATTTCCACCTGGGTGTCAAAAAAAAAATTTATAGCCCATTCTTTAAAATATGATAATAATCACGAATTTTTATATAATAACAGAGGAGTAGAGGAAGGAAACATGCTTTGGTAAGTTACGCTACGCTAAGTTTCTGTCGCCATTCTTAAATTGCTTCACTCCAAAAGACTTTGACTTCCTCTACCTTTAGTAATAATTTATGATCAGGGTTTCTAATTGAATTCGCGGTTTATTTTCTTCGACATATTGCGAGAAAGGGGATTCAAGAGTATCATTAACGAAGATAAATAGAAAGAATTTTCTCAAGTGCAAACGTATCGTAATATCGAATTCTGTTTATCCGTTTTAGCATTAGACCGTGAACACGAGGCAAAATTCCAAACCTCAGACTTACATTATCGCACTGGGACATGCTTTACGCAACCACAGCCTCTCAGAGCTGATGTGCAGAAATTTTGGTTTTCTAACCGTTTAGAGAGTATATTTAAGCACAGAGAAGGAGAAGGGAGTAATTTCGTGTCAGTACAACCGGCTGAAATACAAATAGGTTAAGCTTAGCGTTTAGCAAACAAACGAGGGAACCCGTAAAAGGAAAAAGCATCGTCAACGATGTTTTGATCATATCGATAGCGCTTAGAAGGTCCCCATAAACGGAATACAAACTAAATTATCAATATCACCGACTTAGAAAAATAACGAATTGTATCGAAATAACGGACGTTAAAGTCTCCAGTAAATACTAGCGTACGAGTGTAAAATAATACGGACGTGAGTAAGTCTTCATTTACCATGGACACTAGAAGTCCGCTAGAATTCAAGATAGCTAGAGCGAGCGAACTGTCTGTTTCTTCACCAAACAATTTGAAAAATAATATTAATATTTTTATCCACGAAATATAGTGAAAATAGCAGATTTCTTACCTTGAGCTTCTTGTAAAGCCTACAACAGTATCGATACAGCATAGCGAGATTCAAGGGTCCAAAGTCGGCGTAAAAACTGCAGAACGACAAGTTCACAAATTGACTAATTAGAACGCAGGCTGACGGCAAATAAGCTTCCAAATTAGAACATACTTACTTCTCATACACCAATTCATCATCTACACAGAAATAATGAACAGATTCAGTATGTCTGGGCTTGTTCCGCAGTGTGATGAAGTACAATCGGTCTATGAAGAAATTAACAAGGGGACATCTTGGATAAGACTAACAATTCCTTGGCGGTAAACCATATTGGCAGCTGATAAAAACAACCGAGATATACCTTTGATGAATTCGCTTGCGTTTGATAGCTCGCTTTCATCGGCCATGATGTTTAAATCAAGTAAAAAGGAACAGAAATCTTCGTAAAAATCTACAACCAAACTCGCTTACTCCATTCTTCTGCAGATTCGACTGCATTACAAATTTTAACCAATCACAGCTCAAAGCATTAGGTTGCCATGGGAGACGACCTGTTACTACACAAAGGGACCTCCATTGGGGCATAGAAATAAACCATAAACACTGACGTTTCTAATCTCTGTATTGGACAATATAGTACTTCTCCTCAGATTTCAAATTACGCCTTAAAAAATTGTCTCTTTCTTAGGTTATGTCTCATCAACATGATCTTCGCTCTTCGAGGTCCTGTTAATCACAGACTCAGATCAACAAGAGGTCTCATAACTCAGCCCCTAATGCCAATTACATTCCTCAACTTTTGAAAATACAAATAAACAATTAAATCTATGCAATTAAGAAAGAAAAATATATATTGGCTTTGCACACACATACGCAAACTGGGGGGTTTTTAGTGGAGAAATTCAGACTAGTGGAGAAAAAATGCTACACTTATCTTCGCTTTAAAATGTACAAACAACAAGTTCTCTTCAAGAACCATTGTCTCTGTTTTAGCAAAGACAGTTGCATTTTATTGCGAAAGTATGCTCAGAGTTTGCCTCAGACAAATGGCCAGCCGCTCTAACGTGAAACTAGTGCTGTTATTTTATGTGAACTTCTCAGCCGTAGTGAAAGCACCTGCTATTCGTGGTCATTTGTAACATAAATAGTGTATGTTAATTATATTTTAGCCTTCCTTCACGCTGAGAACTTGAAAAAAGAAAAAAAAACTACCTCCCTGGAGCGAGGCTTTGCCTCTTTCTCATGAGGGTTCACCCTTCAGTTTCTTCTTCCAGTGATTGTTCTGTAGCCTGTTCTGCCAATCTCGGTGAACAGTAAATTTTATGGTAAAGTTCAAAGCTTAATGGATTTATCAGATTAATATTCTTTCGGATTAGACAGAGGTACGTTCATAAATCAGCTCCTTGTCCACTGTTTCTGACCAAATTTAAATTTATAATTTGGATATATCAGCTAAGTTGAAATGGTAAATTGGCCACCGTAACGATTACAAAAACTGACGTTTCGAGCGTTAGCCCTTCGTCCGTCGGAGCCCTTCGCTCCGACGAAGAGCTAACGCTCTAAACGTCAGCTTTTGTAATCGTTACGGTGGCCAATTTACCATTTCAACTTTGTTGATATATCCAAATTATTTCGTTACCCCANCATGAAATGTCCTCATCCTAAACCTGATGAAATAATTTGGATATACGGTGGGGGTAACAATAGTAAATTAGCCACGGTAAAGAGTTAAAAAGCTGACGTTTCGAGCGTTAGCCCTTCGTCCGTCGGAGCCCTTCGCTCCGACGAAGAGCTAACGCTCTAAACGTCAGCTTTTGTAATCGTTACGGTGGCCAATTTACCATTTCAACTTTGTTGATATATCCAAGTTATTTCGTTACCCCCACCAAAGCAGCCCCAAACAGTTTCTTTCGAAACTATCCGCCTTTATTAAATTTATAGTGTTGACTTCGAAGGCACGCTCAATGACGTGCAGTTATTTGGGGTTTCTGTGGAGGAAGGAGAACTGGAAAATCAGTTAAAATCTCCGAGGGAAAAGACAAAGGCCAATATCCCAGAAACGTATTGCCATGCATATGTTCCTTATGTTGCTAGTTTCAAGAATCACACCGGATACCGGTTTTGGTGTCAAACTAAATGCATGGGCTGCGCAACTTACCCAATTATGATAGCAACAAGTTGCAGTTATTAACTATAAACGTTAATCCAAATCCTGGTCCAGTATTTTTAAAAAGTATCGTCTTAGTGAGCAACATTTGTCATTAAGGTTGGTGGCTCGCTTGCATCTTTTTCCAGACCTTGAAATTTGTTCTCTCCTGCAGAGTGTATCTAACCCTCCGAAGTGAACTCCTAACAGTGACAGCCAAAAGTTCCACATTGTTTTTGTCATCCTTTGTCTGAGAGCTTTTAAAAGTTCCTTATGCTGTAACGCTTTTTTATTTCCCAGTCCCAAATACTCCTTCGCACTTTCCTTGATCGAACGGAAACACAAAATAGTAACTATTGGATTTACAACGGCGTTAAAGTTTGCAATGATAACAATAGAATGATTGATCAGATATGACGTTGGAAACTCTAGACGGTTAATAACTGCGATTATTAAGCAATAAAAACCAACAGGACTTGAACACAGCCAAAATCCAACAGTGGTGTAAAAAGATGAAACTACAATGTTTCTCACACCCTTCAATTCCTCTAAATCCGACAATGATTTTTCCATGCTTGAACCTCTCTGGTTATCTTTGCTCTGGATCTTCTGAAAATGATACAGCGTACTCACAGGCGTAAGGGCACCTTTGGACTTGGGGGGGGGAGGGGGCGGGGCGGTGACTTCCTTGCCCGAAAAAAACACGCAATGCCCGAAAGGGTAAGGGTTGAAATCGGGATGCAAACGGAGACGTTCACCATTTTCCCATTTAATGGAACTGCTATCATTGAGAGCTGTCAAGAACTGGTAGTTACCAGCTTGGTGACATCAGCTTGTATTATGAGATATTTTAATACTGAGATTTAAGGATAGAATCGATCGAATAGAATAAACGAATTACTTAATGGAATTTGTGTAGTATTTACCTTTCGCCTTGTTGACCTTGACGGCCGCGTCTCGCTCTCCGCGAAATTGGCGCGAAAATTAGGCACGAACTGCAGCAGATGTTACCGAAACATTACACTTTACATTTTACACGATATTATTCAAATTACGAAATCTCGGAAGACACCACTTTCGGGCATCTAATCACCTGAAAAGTAATTAACTAGTAACTTTATTTACGACTTTTGGAAATCACGCCAACGGCATTATTTTATGTTTTCTCCCAAATGTCATTGCCCGAATCAGAGCGTTTTGCCAGAAAAATTACATAATTTCCGCAGCTGGGGGGGGGGGGCTGCAGCCCCCCCGCCCCTCCCGGCTCGTACGCCTATGAGCGTACTCAACGAAAAAGCAGTGAGGGCGAGGGCCGGTATCAAGAATGTCACACCCAAATATACCCTTGCAAAGTTTCCAGTTTGCCCAGGTTCTGCGACACATACTCTTACGTACTATCGATGATTACCGTGCATAAACTCGATTTTTGATCGATACAAGAAAAGAAAAGGTATATTGATTACAAACGCCGCTATCCAAGCACCACGGGTCATGTAAGAGATCATTTTGTGTCTCAGGGGGCGCAAGGGGAAAGTTACCGACCAAAAACGCTCGAAGTTGATGACGACTAAAATATAAAAACTGGTGCTGATTGCAACGAAACGGACATACTTAGAGATAGCGCAGTATTCCCGAGAGCGACGAAATTCCAGGTGATAAATTTCTAGGGCGTCAAATAGAATGGCCACAAAGCAAGTGAGCCAATCGGAGAAAATCAAATGTAGTAAGAAATAATAAGATCTGCATCATGGTCGAGCCATCCCTCGCTCGCGTCCATTGACTCGAGGATTTCGTCTGCATGACTGCGCCTCTTTTTTTCTTAAAATGCTAAGTGACCAGAAATTCAGGAACAAAGCAAGCGGCTCGATTATGAAGTACGGTGCAAGTGATACCGTTTGAATATAAATGAGCTCTTCTCTGGAATTGTTTCCATGGTCATCATAGAGCGTTGCATTTGAATGCATGGCAAGGGCGACTGAGAAGTTCGACGTCACACTGTTCTGTTCATAAATAAAAAAAAAAAAAGAAAAGAGATAAGATTTAAAAACTGTTCAAGTATGCAGCCTGGAGATGAAACGGAGAGAATAAAAACATGAAAGCAAGAGTAAGGACCACGTATTTTGGAGATTGGTGGCCTGATCAACCAAGGCAAACAAATTGATCTCTGAGACGTGCTATTAAAACAATTATTTAAATTCTAAGAGCATCCAGTAGATTGGTCCCGAGAACGACAAAGTTCAAAGTTACTAGAGGTTGTCATATTGACATAACGCTAATCTTTCATTTTAGTCTTTCCGAGAGAAAATTAAGGAACCTCCCATTTTTCCTAATCACCTGAATACTCTATTCCTATTTTCCACTGGTCTTACATAATCATCTTCAAGAAAATTCACGGCTTAATTGAATAGGAGCTATCTTTAACTATAAAAGATTGCGTACTTTTGAAACAAAAATTGTATACATCACAGAAATAAAATTAGTAAAAATTAACATTCCTGCATCGGACAAATGCTGGTTTGAAACGCCCCATGAAGCAACACTTCATGCGTTGGTTCAACTTTCACGCTCAACGTTTCGATATAATTTGCAATTTTTCTGTCATCTTAAGTCGGGTCGGAACTAACGCGCATTTGATCGAACGATAGACGAATACAATTTTTTGGTAACACTATATAGTAATTATGCTTTGATTAACCAGCTCTCGATGCCCCTCTGGAAACTCAAAACATTGGTGCTTGTAATTTAGATTAATGATCATCCGGCTAATTTCGTTAGAAATTTGTGGTTATTATTGCTCAGATGAGACCAGTCTATGGCAAACTTGCAACATCGAGTTTTCACGCACATGCGGAAAATATTTATCCACCTTTGACTTTGACAGGGCGTAGCATTTTTACAATTTCATTCTGTTATTTGTTGAATTTTACTTTTCTGACTGAAATAAGAAAGATCCGTTTTCAAAAGATGGGCCAAACAGTAGCTTCCCAAAATAGCTAGATTTGACAGTTTTTATTATCGCCCTACAGGCCATTTAAAATGGTCAACTTTCTACAATGAATAGGGTTCGGCAAAATCATTAAATGTTATTCAACTCAAAAGTAATATGAGTTAACCACTCCTATCATCGTTCTTTCACGAAAAAAGAAAAAAGAGAAAAGAATCATGTTGCCACCAAGCGTTGATTGCACAGGTTTTAAGAACATGCTCCCTTTTCTTGCATCAGAACGAAAAGAATAATGAAAAAGAAAAAATTAGATAAATAAACAAATTAGGATAAGAAAACAACTCCTCGTACTAACCTGGATAAAGCTTATAAAATTTAAACCGGCTATATAATATTTTTCCGAAATTGTTAAAGGACAAGCGATGTTATTCAAAACTATCCGTGAATGAGAACAAAAATATTCAGCGAGACAGAGTCGTAATAATTAAAAACGCTTTGAGGAGATTAATTGGAAAATATGACGTTCATTAAATGAAAGTCTTCAAGGACAAGGCCGAATGAACATCAAAGTACCTTTACATTCCGCCGGGTGACGAAAAAGGAAAGGAACATCGACACAATACGCATGGCAGAGTTGTAAACATGCATTTGATGACAAGGGGTAGGGTTGGGGATTTTCGGTATCCCTTTAAGGTGGCTGAACACAGTTTTTGATACCTTTGTTTCTTTCACCCTTTTCTCTAAGACCCTTGATCTCTCGGTCGCCAAAACTGGCAGTAAGCAAGTTAACAACACAAACTTTGTTTTTTTTATAGTCAAGCTGACGTATGTGCTGTTGCCATAGCGACATGAGTAGATATAAACAGGCAATTAAAATCGGTTTTGTCTCTTTGTAGAAAGTCTAGATTTTCTTTATAATTTGCATGCAACGAGCTTGTAATGATACTCACAAGTTAACACCATTTTGCTAACAATTTAACAGAGGTCTTTACTTATCCCTTAAAATCAATTTTTTCTCAATACTCCGGTTACTTACTTCCTAAAGTATTTTCGTGCCAAATTTCATGAAATTCTTCTGAATGTTTCCCAAAATATAGGCATATTTCCTAGAAAGCAATTTTCCGTTCAATCGCAGTTTTTTACTTACTACGCATGCGCTGCATTTGACTGGGTTCTTTCGGTAAGGACGAAAAAGCTGAGAATTGCTGAGTTCTTTGCACCGTAAACTTTTCTAACATATCTTTGTAGTAAAAGATTAAAGCCTTCAATACATGGCGTCAACTATAGAGAAAAATATAGTACAGATAGTGCGGGTACGTGTTGAGTAAATAAAATGACCGCTCTATTGACGGCATCTTTGTTTTTTTGCAATCCCTGTACGCGCGCTAAATTGTATCAGCAAAAGCGCGCGCAAAAACTGTGTTCAGCCCCCTTAAACAGGAGACACGCCATCATTCACACGCATGCTCTCCGCGCGTCTCTAAAGACCTTACAAGGCCGCGGAGAAGACTGGTGATAGACCGACTACCTTTGCCGTAACGAAAAACATGGGAATATTTCTTCAGTAAGACAGAAAAAAAAAAAACTGATAAGAGCTGAATAAACGAAAAAATGAACATCAACGGGTTAGGATGAAAATTTACCCGTATTTACTACAAAAAAACTCGGAAAGTTCAGCCTGAATTGTTGACTGTTCATCATACCGTCACAAACCTATGTATCTCCATTGAGATTGGGAGCCAGTTATTATCTATCGCCCCGGGGAAGGGTCAGTCGGAGGATTTTCAGGCGGGATCACATGGTTTTCAGGGGGAACGGAGTATACAGAGGGGACTACAGAAATTAACTGCCAATTAACACCGAATGAAGGGGGAAAGTTGTACCCAAGACCTGACGAAATAAATTGATCCGGCGTAAGTTTAATAACACTGCTAAATCAATACATTGATAAAGCTGAAAATGTTTTACTGTGTACTGTGGGTAAGTTTTCTGCTTTGAGAAGGACAGCAAATATTAACAAAAGGAACTTTGAACTTGAACTTTATTTTTATTTAGACACGGTAAATCTATCAGATAAAATGATAATATTATTACAATCTATTATTACAGTTACAATCTATTTTAATCTATATAAACATGATCTAAAATTTAAAAGTGAAATAGAAAAAAAAAAAAAAAATTCTCTTTACATAGATGCAGTGTGTGTTTTGTCGATTCAGACGAAGAAATTGCGACAACCATTTCGGAAGGATTTAAGTGATTTTGCTTGCCGCAATTCAGGGGAAAAGCTCCTCCAGATAACCGCACCGTTATAGCTAAAGCTATTTTTCAGGAAATTGGTGCGGGGCAATGGAACAGCTAGTTTGTTTTCAGAGTTCCTTAGATTATATGGAGGATCACATTTAGTGAAAAGAGAACCAAGATAGTCGGGCGCAAGACCATGTATAGATTTATAGACCATGGTGGCCACTTGTATTTGTCGCTGAGTATCTAACCGTCTCCAGTTAAGTTGCACAAGGAAAACAGTCATACTAAAATAAAGAGATAAAATCTATTCAGAGATCCCCCCAGTGCTGTTCCAGAGAAACAAAAGAAATTCTACAATTCTGTTATGGAGTTTGAGATCGAGCAAGTCCTTGCTTTCTGTAAGGTTTGCTGGGGGACATAATAATACCGGGCCGAAACATACTGATAAATTGTGTGCGTCCATTTTGTTCGTTTCCTTCTGGGCAGTGACACGCAAGAAATGATTCAACAAATACACTAATGTTTCTCTGTTGTGTTGTGGTAACTGGACGAGCAGCTTGGAAAGAACACGCTTCTGTGCAGCTAAATCTTGATCTTGAACCTGCTCTTTAGCTGCTTTAATCAGCATTTTGGACAAAGATTCAGTAATGAGTGGCTCGGGAAGTTCTCGGAGATAATCTTTCAGAATTCCAGCGATGACATTGATGTCAGGATAATTCTCTTCTGACAGGTTGACTGTAGTGCTATCTTCGTCAAATTGCGCGTGAAGTTGCTTTTTCCGTCGGGCGTTTCCGGAAATCCGATAGAGACCTACATTTGACAGTCCGCGCTTCTCAATCTCTTCGACACACTTGCGAACGATTAACGGAACACTTGCCTTCTCGTTTCGTGAAGTCACATTGAGTTGAAAGCCGAACACGCCGGAACTTCTGTCGGAATGAGCTCGTTTTAGCAACGCCTTCATCTCTGTGAATTCCATTTTGAGGTGAATCGCACCTTGTGGATGCAAACGAAACACGGTGCTATGCTGCTGGCCGCATCGGACAAAAGGTGACAGATTGAAGGAAACTTTAGCCACTGGTTTGTCAAATTCGTGACCCGGTGTGAAACAAGACAGACAGATTTCACGGCCATGCTGAACTTCAACATCAAAGACTTCATCCCATGCAATGCTTTTTGAAGCTCTTTTAGAGCTCGTGAAAGCTTTACGCTCAAAGTCAACTTCAACTGCACAATAAACCTTCTTTTTCTTCTCCAGTAGTTTCTTATCTGCAAATGGGAGGTTAGTGGCTCTGATAACGTGTAAGGACACCATACCAGAGACCGCGTGGGACGACAATAAATTATGTCCACTATAGTCATCCGGAAATATCAAGAAACCGACATCTACCTCGCTCCTTAGTTGATAGCTGTCGGTCAAATCTTGCGAAGCAAGCTGATTGGTTAAACTGTTCTCAGTCATAGACTGAAGACTGGCGCGCCTTCTGATAAATGGAGACCGTTTAAAGTGACCTGATGGCGAGGCTGATCCGATAGAAAGCTTGGACTTCGCGCCTTCCTCTGGAACAGGATTCAAAAGTTTCAGATTCGGATGTGATGATCGACTTGTTAGTCGTCTGGGTCCGGTGGGAACCTGCAATCCACCAGAAACGATGGAATTTAAAACAATTGAGTGTCTTTCCTGCTCAGTAATATCTTGGCACTGTGATTCACTTTTTCGCGCTGGCCTGCGAGGTGATGTTGGCGCTTTATAAGACTCGGATCTCTGGTCATCTTTGTTTTTATCTCCTGTCTCAGCTCCGTCTGAATGTGATTTGAAGGCGAATGCACTAAAAATTTGGCTTAATGACAAACCAGAGTCTTTGCGTGAAGGAGATGGCGTTCGCGGCGTAGGGGATTTTTCCGCTGTGGTTTCGCCATCCGTGGATCCACTCCAACTATTTCTGTTTGATTTTCCATCTTTGGGGCTATCAAAGATGGAAGAAGAACTTGATTTCCGACCGGTTAAAGCATCTTTATGAGAAGCAACAGGAGAAGATGGTGGAGTTGGCAGCAATCTACGGTTCCTTGGCTCCGAAGGGAGACTCAGTAGTGGCTTCGATAACGTGGGAGAATTGCCCTCACTTCGACTGTCGCTATTACATCGACTTGTCCGACCGCCATCGGATGGCACCGACGGAAGTCTTCGCCTTGCCTTCGGGCTCTCTCCGGGGGAACTCGGAGGACTTTGGGGAGTCTGGCTCGGAGTGTAAGCCTTCAAAGAGTCTTCGTCAGACATGCTCTTATTCCCAACTGGGCTAGGAACTGCGAAATCATCGAGATCATCAAAAATCAAATTAACAGAGGTAACGGGTGTTAAAGTACTTGACTTGCGGTTTGGTAACGGAGGGGCTGTTCTTTTTGATAAAATGATTGAATCAGCTGATGGTTTTCTTGTTGGAGCTTCAGGTTTATTAATGTCTCTTTGTTTCAAAAGAGAACTGGCCGAGTTGCCTTGATCTTCAGTTGAGGGTCGGCCTTCTTCTTCGCGACGTTCAGAGTTTTTCTTCGCTGTCTTCAAGCGATTGTTTTGTGCTCGAATTGCTTTAATAAGTTTTTCAATAGTCGACGAATCTCCGCCAATTTGCAACCTGGAAATTTTCTGATGATTTGCATTTTTGTCCCCTTCAAAATTAGCCGTTTCTGTTTGAATAGTTTGTTTACCTTCGTTACTGGGCTCAGAGCGGGAATCTTTAGTTTTGATTTTAAAAGCTTTCGATGTTGTTTCGTGAGGGTTTTTGCTTGTAGCTATAGATCCGTTGATTTCTTCAGAATATAAATTTCGATCAGTCAACAAATCACTTGTTCTGATGGTCAAAATCAGCTTGTGCGGTATTTGAATCATTCGTACAACATCGTCTACATGAAAGCCATCAATATCAACTTGATTAACTGAAATAATTTCATCGCCGACCTCCAGTAACCCGTTCACATCAACAAAACTTCCCTGTGCAACGCGTGATACAAATATTCCATTCTTCGTAAATGAACCGTCACCTTGTCGAATGAAGAAGCCCAAGGGCGACGCAGAATTTTTAATAATCACTACATCGCGAACTTTGCATCGGTCTGAATTTCCAATGTGATTTTTACCGTTCAGTTCATCCGATGCGGGGAGCTTTAAATCGCTGGTTTCGTGTCTGCTGGCGATGTCTAACCCTTGATGCGATATTCTTGTGTTCTCTAATTCTTGTTGATCCGTTGAGAAGTCACTTTTATTGTCTATCGCTTGTATCTTTGCTATGATGGCAGGAGTCAATGTTTTCTGTGTAACATTTCTTTGTGCGGTTTGCGCCATGTTGCCTGGAGCGGGAGTTGAGGCCTTAGGTGTCGCTTCAGCGGAGAACTCATCGAAGCTGAATTCGATCTCGCTCAAGTCGTCTGACGTCGGTGACACGTTTTTACTCCATAAATTTTTTTGTCGTGGCGTAAATGTCCTAGCCTCCCACATCATAGATCCAGCACAATAAACGAAGCAATAGAATACTTCACCTCAAGGTCATATCAATCAAATAACAAATAATAAAACCTTTTTTACTATGACGAAGGAAATCTTGCGCGTCACCAAGATATTCAATAGCTTCTTGAGTGCTGAGTATTTGGCTTCCACACTTCCAAATAACTGTATTCCTTTGCGAAAAGCTATTTCTACTTAAGTAACTCTGCCAGGATTAGGCTTTCACACCTTCAATATGTATTTAACCACTAAAACCAGCCCAGTCGTATGTATGTATTGTGATCGCATAATTGCAAAAAATTTGCATTACGTCGCAAAGACTTTCAGCATCACAAACTTGAGCGAATTAAATAACGTTATTTTAATCCAATAAGTGGACGTATTTAGGATGTTTTTATTTCATACTCTAGTTTCTGTGTCTGGAGCTAAGTTTATAGAAAACAATAGCTTAAATATTAGCTAAAATGGATAGTTTTCCGGCGGCGAGTCCATAAACAAATGTTCTACAGCAATATCACTGCTGACGTGTGTATACAAAGGCTTTAAAAACATTTATGGCGCCAGCAGCATGAATAACCTTTAGGGCACTTATTGTTTATGTTTATATAACAAAACTAAAAAAAAAACGTCTAGAAAGATAAATTATTAAATTTCAAACATCAGACCTTTAGCAGCCTGATGTAAAAACACGTCGTATCTTTTATATTGCTCTTAAGAAATACTTAGTACTTGAACTCATCTCAGGGAGATCTATTTTAAGTTTCGATTGATAATGATAGTAATTTTCTATTTGGTAATCAGCAGTCAGTAATTAATAGGATAGAAAAAAAGCATAAGACAGACAAGTACAGACAGAACATCAATTAAAATTTCGCTTGATGTAGGACAAAAATAACATTGTTATTAGCAACAGGAAAATGAATATTAGATTACGTTTCAAATTTTTGTTGCTTCGAAAATAGCTTAAATATGAAAAAGCCTCAGTCCCATAGTAAGAAGGAATATTAAGCGTTTGAAGTAGATTCTTCCAGGTAATCCCGCAAGAAAATCTGGTGCAACACGAAACAACTAAGTTTACAGGAGAAATAAAGGAAATAATCAAGTTCTCTCTTCGTAAAACGAGTTACCAACCATCTTTAGTTTCAATAACGCATTTGCACCTCAGAGTAAAAGTACAAACACTTTTATTGGAAAACTGGGAATGGATATGGTAATGAAGATATTGGCTCATTAGGCTAAAAACAAGCAACAGTATATGCAAAAACATTCTTAGATTTAATGAGATTATTTCTAGAGTAAACTTTGTTTGCTTAGTTTGCAGGCGAAAATAGGACTACATAAGCGATATGGTATAAAAATAAAATTCCAAATTTATAATTTTTTTTTCTTGCAATTTATGTAAAAGAAAAACAGATCCTAAATACCACAAGAAATAATAATTCTAAAGAAAATAATATTTTTCAGATATTATTCAAAGTCATACTCGCACACGATGAATTCAAATGCAGTGGCTCTCGTATTCTTGCCAATTCTACCAATCATCAAATACCGGTATTGCAGGGCTGGTCAAGTTAATGAGCCTCGGTGTACATTTCCCGCGGTTTTGTTCCTCGGCGCGGTCGTGGTCTGGGTACAGTAGCGCTGTGTTTGGGTGATTTTCTCAGAGCGTGATATTTCCACGCTTCAGATATTTGTTTGATCTGAAATGGACGCGAAACTTGGTTACAACGTGAAAATTCACACGTCCGCTGGCGTGCGTGCGTGCACGCTGGCACGGCATGACAAGCACGTGCAAACTCCAATTAAAAAACCGCGTGTGCTGTACGCAAGAAAGCGTATTATGGAAATAACACACGAATCATCTAAAGGTCGGCACACACGAGGGGACTAGTCCCTGCGACTAGTCCCACCGACCAGTTTCATGCGACTAGTCCCTTCGTGTGAACTACACATTTCTGTGGTCGCAGGGACTTGTCGCATGAAACAAATGTTTGTCCCTTCGTGTGAACTGTTTGTGCGACCAGTCCCTGCGACTAAACGGTAAATAAGCCAATCACGGGTCAGTATGATGCGTGACTTCCGGTATTTGTAAACATTGCAGTTTCTAATGATGAATTTTCCCTGACTTCTAGATTTCTACAACTGAAGAATAAAAAACTATTTCTAGTTTTGTAAACATATACAGATGTCTTGGAGCCGTTTTGATGAAATTTTTACCCTATTTGACTGTGTCTGTTAAAAATAAAATAAAAAAAACAAAAACGGAACACGTAAAAGCATGAATAATCGGACTGAATAAGTGTAGTTCGTTTGCGCTGATGTTTAATAGTGCTACAATGAAAAGTTACCAAATTTTAATTGTTTTCGTGTAACGCCCCAGACTAAGAGACATCTTTGCCTCTAAATTTTCCTATGTTCTTGTGCAATTGAGTGCCCTCGCGTGAACACCTTAAGGGACTAGTCCCTGCTACCGGTCCCCTCGTGTAAACCCTTCAAAGACTTGTCGCGGGGACTAGTCGCACGGACTAGTCGCAGGGACTAGTCCCCTCGTGTGTGCCGACCTTAACGTTCACATGCACACACGCATGCACGGACCGAACGCGCACACGAATAAAGAAGGAAACTTTAGACACGGCTTACTGCACACACCATAACATGCAAATGAAAACAAAAGGCCATGCCACAAGTGTTAACGAATGCGTGTGCACTTACCCATAGAAAACTGCTCACCAACTTCGAATTTACTTGCTTTAGATTCTGAATGAAGTATACACTACTCAACAAAAAATTTTTTAAAATAAAAATTTGCAGAGAAGTCTGTGGAATTGACTTTGTGTAGGAGTAGGTACTAACAAGAAAGTTTACTGGTTCCGTGCTGGAATATTTTCACCTAAACTTACCGGAATCATTCTATCCTTCTCATTGTCAAGTTCAACTTGTTTAAGTTCTTCAGGCGTGAGTAAGGCAAGCCTGACATATTGGATCACATTCTGTGCTATTTCCGCAACTGACTTACTAAGAACCACCTTGAAATAAAAGGATAGACAAGCTGGAAATATTCGTCTTCGTTTCCTGCTCATCAATACTAAATATGGAGTCTCCCAGACCATTTGGCCCATTCAAAGTGTGATAAGCAGTAATCTAGAGTTAACAAAGTAACAAAGTGTAAACTCTACACTTTAGAATAATGGCCAATACTGTCAGAGCTTATCTCACTTTCTGCAATGTCAACCCTTTGCACCACTCCATTGGTATTCATATCTTCCACACTTTTCTCTTTACATTTCCTATGGCACTGACATGGAAAATTTGTTTGGCAATTACAAGCTTATTAAATTGGTAATAATTTTCTTTATTCTCATGACCTTTACATTTGATTCTAGGGTGATATGGTAAGGAGAAATTAGAAGTCAGTCACTCCCAAAGGTTATGCACCAAAGAATACAACTCTCCCTCTTAATGGATGTGGATACAACACAGTTTCCCAATCACCATCCCCCCCCTCCCCCACTACCAAAGCATTTTGTCCACTTTCCCTGAAAACTTCTATTTTATACCTACCCCCTTCTCCCCAGGGTAGAGAGTACAATGAAAGTAAAACGTCCCAAGAATACAAAACAATAATGCACTGACTGATGCACTAATACTTGACATTCAACATTTGTTGATCATGCAAAGAATTGTTCAATATTGGGTGGAGCATTTGAACACAATTTAGGCCTAGGGAGTGGGAATTGGAATGCACCAATCATCAAAAGTTCAAATGCTCAGGTGGCTGGCAAGAGGGGGGAGAGAGGGGGAAGAGAGGGGGAGGTTATTGAAGCTTTGAAGTGATCAACATTTAACCCAGTCAAGGTTTAAAGTTCATTACCTCCCTGATGTGCAATAAACTCAAACAATTTACATGTAGTCTCAGTTACACCACTTTTAGGTTAACCGCAGACACGATAATAAAATTCACAGACAACAAAATAAATATCTTACAGAGTTTACTGTGGCCCATTCCCTCACAGCTGCAAGAATTTCCAGTTCATCCATCATCAGTTTATCACTTTGCAGTAGAAGCGCCAAAGCTTCCTCTGACAGTTCATGGAATCCTTTTGTTCTGAATACATTCTCTGTGTTTTCTTCAATAAAATCTAAACATCGTTCTCTTAACTCCTCTTGTCCATAAGTAACAGCAATCTACATTTAGATATTTAGACAACTGTGACCATGAGCTAACAAGCCATCTACCAGTTGGCTTGTTAGCTCAATTGGTAGAGCGCTGCACTAGTATTGCAGAGGTCAGTGGTTCGAATCCTGTACAGACCTGATTTTTTTCAGGTCCGATTTTCGCTTTTGCATAAATAGCGCTCTCTACTGCGAGGATTGTGCATCATACGTATGTAACCATGACATAGTAAATGGTTGATTTTAAAACTGAAAGTAACTTCTGGGGAATAAAATCACCATGTAGGATACAGGTTTTCCTAATCATCTCTCATTCATATCATTAATTGTTCCAAAATTTCTATAATTAAAAAATGGCACATAGAAATACTGGCTTGGGTTGAAATCCTTACGGGAGACTGGGATGGTTTTCTGTTTTCCACACTTGTAAAAAAAGTTAAAGATCTCTTATTTTACTCATTTGCAGATGATTAAATAACATTTCAATCAAAATATGTTCAACCTGAAACAAACCTGCATTGCCTCTGATGCTGTATCTATGGCAAGAGTTTCACCAATGAACTGCTCACAGATCTGTCAGTCAACGAAGCAAAGATCAATATTAATTAACAAAATGATGAATCATTTTTCAAATAAATATGACACACTCAAGTTTATTCTCGTCACTTTCACACTGAATATGATCTACTGTTCCAAACCCCTAAGCATTAAAACTGTGTACCTCACAGAAGACTTAAATTTTTGGAGACAGGTGGACTATTATACTTTTAGAAATTTTCAACCAAATTCCATATCACTGTATGAACATTCTAGAGTTATACACACACCTTTTGGAGTTGTTCTAAATTGTACTCCATAGCTGAACCCATAACTTCCATAACCTGCAAAAACAAACAAACAAACAAACAAAAAATGATTAAGAGCAAACAAGCAAAGAAAAATGAAACTAGTACACTGAATTCTTAAGTGGTCTATCATTCAAACAATATAATGTAAGGCATTTGATTAATCACTTAGCAGGTCAGTTATTCAGTCAGGTGGTCAATCAGTTGAGCACACCGAATTGATTCAAATAGCTATTCATTAAACTACACGGTTGTCTCACTTTTCACTCAGCTGGACTCTCAGTCAATCAGTTGCACACTCAGTCACCTGGTCAGTTGTCAGAAAGTTTTAGAATAGACATCTGCATTAGTAATGTAAACAGCCAGCCCAAGACATGCTGTCCAGTGCTAATACAGGTGTTTCATTAAGGGCCTGGGCACCAGGCAAATTAACTGGTCATGAGGACGGTTTTGCCAACCTGGTTTGACAATCTGGAGGAAAGTTTATCTTGTAGAGAAGTTCAGGTCAAAAAGTTTTTCCCACCTGTGATAACCAGTTATCCTCCTGCTGAAAACATTAATGAAATCCTTGCTAAAGCACAGACATTTCAATGGGTCTAGGGGTGTGTTCTTCCATAAAATGTAAAATGCGGTTATTAACGCTGTGACATGGCTGAATCATGAAGAAGTCTTTCATCCATAAATTAATCTTGTTAACTAATTCACTCACTTCAATTCCAAAATAGATGTGTCAGTAACAACTGTAGAAAGATATTTTAACTTACATTTCTGTTATCGAGAGTGCACGTATTAGTGTAGAGAAATTCTAGTAGTGACATAAAGATTTCTGGAGTAACATCTGCCAGGACAAGGGGCACATCCTGCTGGTCAGTTTTTGGTCGTACATTGTCTTTCTGATCAGATAGCATTGCTCTAAAAACTTCACACCTACAATCATAATAGATGCATTTATGAAAAAATAAATAATTGACCCAAATTTGTCCATTTGAAAAGTTGTAATCAGTTTCAGAGGTTCCAAATTGAGGTTCTGACCATACACTTCAGTTCACTTATATCAAGTTTAATTTTTAATGCTCACCTAAAGTCATTAGATTTTGTCTACTGAGTTGATAAGGTAAATTGGCTAATGTCAATAGTTTCTGAAGCTGACATTTCAAGCATTATCCCTACATCAGAGCAAAACGATGAGTAATTTTCCTCTGATGAAGAGCTAATATTTCAAACCAAAGCTTTAGAAACTCTTTATGAAAGCCAACTTCCTGGTTAGCTCAACCACCTCCCAGTTAGCTCAATTGGTAGAGCGCCAGACTGTTGTGTGGGAGTCGTGAGTTCAAATCCAGCCGGACCAACACTCAGGGTCTTTAATTAACTGAGAAGAAAGAGCTGCCTTTGTAATAATATCTGCAAATGGTTAGACTTTCTCGTCTTCTTGGATAGGGATGATAAATGGAGGTCCCATCTCCTGCAGGGTTGGGGTAGGAGACATTAATTTCCCACACATGAGATTACTGTGTGATGGATGTCCTCCCTGGGGTGGGATGGGTGGGTAAAACAGGGGTTGGGTGTCAATTGGAACGAAAGTTCTGTTCCTTTCTCCTGCCATTCCTGTGGCGAATGAATTAAACTTAAACTTAAATCATCGACTACTTCCTTTATTCATTAGGTTCCTAATAGACCACTGATTATTAAAATCAAGACTTTGAAGGGATATTCTATAGTACAGTCTTACCTTGCCATCAAAATTGCCTTGTTTGCACGGATCACTTTTCTATTAGGCCCCACAATGAATTTCACATCACTACAAAAGTAGTCGAGTAGACGGAAATTTGTTACAAGCTTATAATCAACTCGGATAGGAAATATGGGGAAGGATCAGACCACATTTTACTTCATAAAATAGAGTAGTTTACTTTATACGAGATAGATGAAATCAAAAAATAATTACAGGAATATCAAAAGTTAATTACAGGAAAAAACGAACATTCTTGACACTAGATGGCGGAGGTACCTACGAAGAGATGCTGAGCTGCCTTTCACTGAGCTCAAATACTGCTACCTCAAGCTTTTAACCCTAATTACCAGTTCAAACTAGCAAATTCTCGATATTCATTATATATATCTCTGTTTCTTTTTAATTTTTTTTTGGCTCTGCAACAAAATTAATTGGATCGTATCGTTAGACAACTGCTTCTAATTTGATGGCGTGACAGTTGAGAATTGGAACGCAAACACAATATTCAAGTTCGCTTCTCAAACCTGAATTCCTTTTTATCAATGATTCTTCTCATGTCATCGGCAAATGCCCAAGGACATCCTGGTATTGTGCGTTCTTGTGCCATTGTGCGATGGAAGATAGAAATCTTAACGTCCAAGACTCACATTGTGATTGAAGATTCAAGAAAAGAGAGCTACATAAAGCCCGCGTTTTTGAATTTCTGCTAGGCGACGAACCACAACAGAGTTGAGAAGCGTGGAGACTGGGTTAGAGGAAATTTTCATTAAACTACGTCATATACTAGTCCCTAAAACGTTGGAAATCAAACGGTACCGTGCGAAATTACAGGAAAGTATTCGAAAATGGACGCAAATGTCAGGAATCGGAAAGAACTGTCCAACATAGGACATAGGACGAAGCTGTCCAAAGTCGGACGGAATCGTCCAAAATGGGACGGAATCGTACAAAATCGATAGGTTTTGAAGTTGCATTTTGTAGATTCCCAGCTGTTTTTTTCCCTATAGTTACTTCCTCGTTGTTCCCCGGGCTCTGCTGATAAAGTCTTGACAAAGGAAGAAGAGAACAGTGAGACGCGCAAAGGACAAGTCTGGCGTTTAATTCATGCCCATTGCACGCATTTCTTGCGTTCAGTCTGCGATGAATACGCAAGGAAAAGGAGACACTTCGTGGTGACTCAAGCGGTCTTGAAAACACTTTTGCCTTTCAGGGCTTTATCAACTGTCTACTCAAGTAAGATACGCGTAAAAGTAAAATTGCAGTTTTGCATTTATCTAATCAAACAGTCCACATTAAATACACAGAACTTTGTAACAAGTTAAGCAGTCCATAAACGACAAGCGATGAAATCAATTGTACATTTACAGCTTTTACGCTCAAAAACGTCATCAGATTGAACTAGGATAAAAAAAAAATAGGAAAAAAATTTCCTCCATGCACTCAGCCATACACTTGCACGTCAGTAAAATCTGGCCTGGGAATTTTCCTACAAAATGACGCCCTAAACGCTGAACTTGCAATCGTGCTCTGACATCTTCACGATTCTTAGTAAAATAAGAAAATCAGTTTTCAACAACACTGCCTTCTCCCGAAAGAAGTAAATATCAACTATCCCTTGATTTGCACAAACAGCAAGTGAGCAGCTGTTTTCCTCAAGTTCTCTATGTTGTAGGAATTTCCTGAAAAAGAGATATTCGCAGATAAACAAAAACGTCTCCAGCTAAATACACGATGGAGCAATCTTCAAATGAGAATACACCGATCGTCTTCACGGGGAAACACAAAAGGATTATCACATGTGTGAGGCTAGTGAGTCCAAGACAATGGCAATTCAAATTGGACGCCATATTTGGATTCGGTGTATTGATAGTCATCCGTAACCGCTCTATGATTGGTCTAAAGTTCACCAACATCTCAACCAATCACGTGCAACACTAAAACCAATCGCGACGTACTCACTCACGTTTTCTCGCACTTATGTAAGCTTGCGTGTTTATACTTTGGATTCTCATTGACTCCTTTGGTTTTACGACACTCAATCGACAGGCGCTCTATTCTTCTATTCTACGTGTATTTCTTGAATAAAACGTTGATGAAAGGACCAAATTTCTACCAGCTCGACGAGAGGAACAATTTGAAGTTGCTGTTACCCTCCTTTCTCGTGATACTTTTTTTTTTCTTTCTTAGTTACGAAATAAGTTGTACAAAAAAGCGCTTTGAAGGTTGGATGAAGAGAAGTGTAAAAGTCAACTTCATTGTACAGTAGCATACTTTTTGCAACGCAATTGCTACACTGACCGTGGTGACTGTAAAACGCCTTCAACCGGTAAGCGGTCTTTTGAACAAATTTCGTCTAAACGGAATCGTAAGAGGAGAAGAAATGAAAAAGTATTTACCTTGAGGAATGAAGAATGTCGAGCCTGTGTGAAGTATTGCCGAAGATTTGTGAACTGTAACCTTGACTCTTCCCTTGATAATGTAAAAAACCTTGCAAAAAGTTGTTAATAGGCGTCAGTTCAATTTCCCACTAATACTTAAAAAAGTTAACAAAGCAATGATTACAAAGTAATGATAATTCTTAAAACTGGGTAACAAAGGGTTGATACGTTGGCAATGCTTGATCTTTCTTAGCTCATTCGTTCATTTTCTTTTTTCGTTCGTTTCTACTCTTCGCTCGTTCGTGTCTGTCTTCGTTAGCTCGTTCGCTCAGTCAGTTATTTCGTTCATATACAACTACATAAGATGAATTTTCTTCGCAGGATTGCAACAATATCAATCGTTTGTTAGGAAATTCTGGGTCAGAGTAATCCTGAAAAAGACTGATGTCGCAGACACTGGTACAAGCTTCGAAAACCTGAGCAGAATTTATCATCAGATTCAAGTCAATTACAACTCAGGTTTTGAAAAGGTAATTCAGTGTCACAAGCAACAGTCCTTCTCTGGACTACACTCATCAACACTGTTACCATGGGTTCACAACTGTTATAGCTTACGAGCAGGCCCTAATAATTAGCACCTCGGTACAAATGTTTCTTCACCCGTATGAGGCCTTGAGCAACGCGAGCCGGCCAGCGGTCTGCAAGAGTCTAGCACTAGATCCCCAGAAAACTTCACTTCGACTCGCCTCAATTCTTTCCGTGGGCGAAGGAACGCACGTCCTGCGGCTCAAACAATGAGAACCTGCTCGTAAGATATAACTGTGATACCAAGTTTGTTCACATAACAAAGAAATAAAGCCTACCATTGTATCTTGTCGTACAAACTGCTTTCCCTTTTCGGCTTCAGGCCTCAGTATCACCTGACCGCCTCCAAACAGAGGCCGTGAGATGTATTTGTGAACAAGAAGTGGGTCGTTCTCCTGCGGGGGTTTTCCCGAGGGATTCGTGAAGTTTAACATACCGTGGGTATGGAAAATATCTGGAAAATACAAATGTAGGTTATCGGCGGGCGTGCTTATTTAGCAATTACTGAAAGTAGAATGGTTTGTTTGCTTTTGGTTTGGGTTGGAGAATTGGTTACCGAATCATCGCTCAACGCACTCTTACCTATTTGAAAAAGAAAATGGAGGAAACACATTTTCCCGCGCTTTTCAGAGTGTACATTTTTCCCAGCGTTAACCAGTAACATGATTTCCCGCGTTTGACATCAGCTGCACGTTTTCCCGCCCTTTGTGAGGGTCCTATTTCCATTCTTCGAGTTATGATTGATTAATTTCACCATTTGCGCTTATTACGACGCCAACTTTTTGTGTGACATCACTAACAAAGACGTGACATTGAGAAAATTTTGCCCAGTTGATAAATCTCTGTATTCTTTTTATCTTCCCAGCTAGTTATTAACTAATAGTATGCAATGAAATGTAAAACACTTACCCATGGCAACTTCTTCGTTGTTATCTGAGTTTAACACAGTGCCTTTAGGGTTTAAAATCTCTTGGAATCCTTCTAAATCCTGGAGTAAATAAATAAAACAAGTTTTGCACAAACTCATTGGCTGCTTAAAAAGCTCCATTCAATGTGAAGGAATCATTCGTAATACATTAAAAGAAGCTTGACTCGCTGAACCCGGCAGCAAACTTAATTAAATAACAGAGAGCTGTGTAAGTAGAACTCACATTGTCCACTTCATCCTCTGAAGAATCAGGAGAGTTTGCTGCAAAGTAAAATGAAAAAAATCCTTCACAAGGGTCTGACTGTTATACAGAAATTCTCCATAATTGACGTTTTAAATACATCATTTCTAAAAGTCATTTCGGGGAAGATGGGAGGTCTTGCTTGTTGAAAAAGACCACATTGTATGACAGAGAATTAGAATCTCAAAACAAATTGGAGACTGGGAGAGGCAGTCAACACAGAAGGCAGAGCTAAGTAAAATGTTACATGTCTTGAAAAAGCCAAGCAACAATAAAATGAAAAAAAAAGGGAGGGAGGGGTGAAGGAAAAGAGGGATTGGAAAGAAAGGTATGAGTAGGGGAAAGGGGTGAGAAGGGAGAGGTGAGAGTGGTAAAAAGGCAACAGGAAGGGAGCAGGAAGGGGAGGAGTAATGAGGGCAGGAATGGATAGGGAGAGGAGGAGGGTAGGAACAAAACAAGAGAGGAATAGGGGAGGGAGGGAGGGGCGAGTGACAAGGAAGAGGTGAGAGTGGTAAAAAGGCAACAGGAAGGGAGCAGGAAGGGGAGAAGTAATGGGGGCAGGAATGGATAGAGGGAGAGGAGGAGGGTAGGAACAAAACAAGAGAGGAATAGGGGAGGGAGGGAGGGGCGAGTGAGAAGGAAGAGGTGAGAGTGGTAAAAAGGCAACAACAGGAAGGGAGCAGGAAGGGGAGGAGTAATGAGGGCAGGAATGGATAGAGGGAGAGGAGGAGGGTAGGAACAAAACAAGAGAGGAATAGGGGAGGGAGGGAGGGGCGAGTGAGAAGGAAGAGGTGAGAGTGGTAAAAAGGCAACAACAGGAAGGGAGCAGGAAGGGGAGGAGTAATGAGGGCAGGAATGGATAGAGGGAGAGGAGGAGGGTAGGAACAAAACAAGAGAGGAATAGGGGAGGGAGGGAGGGGCGAGTGAGAAGGAAGAGGTGAGAGTGGTAAAAAGGCAACAACAGGAAGGGAGCAGGAAGGGGAGGAGTAATGAGGGCAGGAATGGATAGAGGGAGAGGAGGAGGGTAGGAACAAAACAAGAGAGGAATAGGGGAGGGAGGGAGGGGCGAGTGAGAAGGAAGAGGTGAGAGTGGTAAAAAGGCAACAACAGGAAGGGAGCAGGAAGGGGAGGAGTAATGAGGGCAGGAATGGATAGAGGGAGAGGAGGAGGGTAGGAACAAAACAAGAGAGGAATAAGGAGGGAGGGAACTGGAGAGATGGCGTTGTTAATACAGTAGAAAACAAAACAGATGAGAGGAACTCTTTCCTGGTAAATAACACAATCAATCAATTTACCGTTGGTTTGCTTTTTTACAGAGAGCTTCGCAGTTTGTTTCCGCTTCTTCCTGTACTTTGGTGTTGGAGTTGGGTTTTTTATAATTCCTTTGATGCACCAGCCACCTAACAAAGTTAATCAAATCATCATCAGTTACCTCAACTGAGTTATCTTTGTTACTGTAGATGAGGACTTTCCTTCCTTTTTCCGGGCCTGTTGTTGGACTGGAAAGAAATGAGGTTTCAACAACTCAACCAATCATATGGCCATTTGATCCAAAAACTATTGTGATTGGTCAAGATATGTTGGCTCTGAATTTGACCCGACGCCGGTTTACGGTTATTGTCCATCTTTCAAGAGGAGCTAATTTATTATTATCAACACACTTCATGTATTAAGATAAAACAATTTCTCAATGAAGTTAACCATACCTGATTTTCGTCGCTCATAATCTATTCGCTCATTTTTCCAGTATTGTAAGGGCGGCACGATGGTGCGCTTGCTTCTCCTGGTATGCTGTCCATCTGGGGTACCTAGCAAAACAATACGCAAATAAAGTTTCACTTGTTCATTTCGAAACTTCTCCTAATTTCAATAACATGAGGTGACTGAGAGTATTGCTATTCCACATGGGCAGAATGCTGGTCCGTCTCTGACTTCCTCTCCAGAACCTGTCAGGTAGGCAGTTTGCTGTTCCCCATATAAACTCCTGGGTGGAGGGAGTCACTGTGAGAGAACACAACACACTGACTGGGCCAGGGATAGAACCCAGACTTCTCGACTAGAAGTAAAGCTCGGCAGGAACCACCCCTCCCCCTGCGTCTACTTAAAGGATTACTAAACGATATTTTGAGCACGGGGGCATTAGATCCAACTCACCATCTGGTTGAGAGGTACCATTTGTAGTGGTGACCTCCTCCTCAGGATCAACTTCAGAATTACCACCAACACTGGAGCCGCTGGCAGAACCCACAGATGACCTGATAGTTCGAGCGCTACCGGGGGTAAATGTCCCATCTGTGGATTTGTAAGAGCTGTTCTTAGACACAAACGACAGACTAATGGGGGAACTGTCGGCCAGCATAGATGGTGATCCGTGAACGAATGGGGTTGAGGCAAAACTGACCGCAGAAAGACTTTTTCTGTTTGGCTGCTTAGCGGGTTGTACACTCTCGTCATCAGCGTCACTCCCGGCTGAGTGTGACTTCTCTGTTGTCATCTGACGCTTCCTGGAACCTGAAATAAACAAGCAAACAAACAAGAAGAAACTTTACAATACTCAGTCTTTGTAGATATGATCGTGGAAAAAAAACCTAAGGTTATTGATGGCTGTACTTCTAAGAAAAAGACTTGTAACGCCGAGCAAATCAAGGTTGCTTATTCATGCAATCTCTATCATTAACTGTGATCAAATTTACAGTCAACAATGTTACACATGACAGTGTAATTACATGTACCTGTAGCGGATCTTCGCACACTGCCTCCAGATTTAAGAATTGACTTCAATGCTGTCATTGGTTCAGCTGGAGCATCCAATGAACTGCTGTCTTTTTCTGCTCCTTGTAAGGAATCATTTATATCAGCTTTATCATTCACGTCATCTGTTGTTGAAGATTTCTTCTCTGCTTCGGATTTCCTCCCAGCTCGTTTAGTTCTACTAGTTTTACCAGCATTTGTTTTGGTATCCTTTCTCGACGAATCCTTTGCAGTGCTTGTTTCATTCGCTTCGTTCAGCAATCTCTGTTTTTTGGCGTCCACGCTTAATTCAGTAGAGTCGTAACTGTTAGTCTTGGAGGAGTTTTTTGAGCTGTTTGCTTTGCCTCCTCTTCGTTTCCTTGCACACGGTGCTACCACCCGTGAGACCTTCTTCCGCTTGGTTGCAACGCCGTTACTCGACTTCTTGGTAGACTCTGTGCTTGAGGAAACAGTAATGGACACATTAGACATACTCTGTGCTGTATGTTCCACAAAATCTTTGTTCTGCGATTTGATCAGCTCTGCTGCAATACCAACGACACTTTTGTCCTTTTTAGAATTCATTTCTTCATCTTTTCTTCTTCCTTTTCCTTGTTTCCCTCTCTTTCCTTTAGTCACATCGTCAGCCTCGTTTTCCCCCAATGCCATTGACACCCTCCCATCATTACCAGTTTTTTCGTTCTCCAACCCTAATAATTCCATATTTCCACGTTCAAAATCGTCATCGTCCACAACATCAACTGCCACTTGCAGCGCTTCTTCCTCTCCATTTTGTTCATGCACTTTGCCATCCTGTTCTTTTTTCCTTTGCCCTCTGGTCCTCCTTCCCCTGAGTTCCATTGTACCCCCTCCATTTTTTTGCTTGACTTCCACGCTTTCTATCTGCTCTGTTTTCTTTCTACTCTCATTCCCTTTCTCAGGTCTTCCCTTATGAACTGGGGTTTTTTTGATGCCGTCATCATTCTTTTGTTTATCAAATTCTTCATCGTCTACATTGTGGTTTTCACTTTTCTGCTTGCTTTCCCTGGTTATCCTGCTCATCTGATGTGTGACACTTGATACACTTTTTCTTCCCCCTACTTTTATTCTCTTTTGTTTATGTGACTCTTCCACATTCTTCGCCTTCCCTCTTGTTCTTCTCCCCTGAACTGGCCTTGCTTCTTCTTTGTGTGTAACTGTCAAGCCTGTATTTTCCTCTTCAACATCATTTTGTCCCACCACTGACACCATTACACTCTCTGGATCTCTATTCACAGTTTTCTTTCTTCCTTTAGCTGCCCTGTTTAGTGCTGTCTTGTTGCTTGGATATCTCTTTGTTAAAACAGGTATTCGAGATTTATATCCTTTAGTTGCTGGTTCATCCTGATTATCTGAACTGGACCCAAACTCTGGAGACATAGCCTTGTGTTTAGTTCCCTCCAACACAAAACTCTCACTCATCACAAAACTTTCAGCCTGAGAAGACAGCGGCAATTTATGGACAGCTGCGTTGGTCTTCGCTGCACGAGATAAATTACCAATGGTTAGAAACGTGTCTTCCTCAGTTCCTGTTATATCAATAATCTCCTCATCTCCACTCTCATCTGCAACAATGCTGTGTTTTTTTGTAACTGCAGGAGTCTTTTTCATGGACTTCGCTTTCTCTTTATAAGAAGGTTCATCATGAGCCTCCTTAATTACTAACTGCGGATCATCATTGACAACATCAATTTCAGTGTCACTTTCTTCAACCCCCTTGCCACTGGTCTTTGCATATTGACCATCCAAAGAATCTCTATGATATGATAAAATAAAATAAAAAAACACATTTGCAGTATTGTGAAACTTGTAAATTCATGATCCCCATCATTTCATTCTGACAGGTCAGAATACACTTACTCATTTACATAATGATACAGGGCTGCAAGCAAAACAAAAAAAAAATACTGTTGCAGTTTTCTGTTTCCTTTTCTCAGTTTTTCTTGAAAGACAGTAATACTCCACAAGTGTTTCTGGTACTCATAGTTTTCTGAGTTTCAGACATAAAACATAATCATACATTAACTGATTAGAGTGAATTCATTATCTGGGATAATGTAATGTGTGTCATCATTACACAGGAAGATTGTACCTGCAAGCACAATTGTAATCTGAACCTCCTCAAAAATCATGAAAACCTCATTTCTCTACATAAAATAATTGTTTGTAAGAAAAACAGCAAGCCATCAATTTTATGGCCTGCTGTGTTTATATCGTAACATAACTAACATTCAAAATAATAAAGCTGAGAATTACCCAGCATGTACTTGATCACCCTCTGATCCAACTGGTGATTGCCCAGTTATGAATGACAACCTACAGAAAATAACAAAATGCACACATGAAGATCATTTGCCAAAATTCTATTATTAAATCAAAGTCTTCATTCAGTACCGATAATGAGAGCTTTGAAATAAAAATGTCATTATTGAATGAAATTTATTGATTTAACCCAGACGTTCTCCCCTAACCATTCAGAAACCTACCTCTTGCTAATTGGTCCTCTTAACTGTGGAGTTGGTTCTCTGGAGGCCGGGTTTTTAATTGCAGTTCCAGTGTTATTAGGAGACACAGTGTTCTGTTCTGGTGTATCTACTAAATCCATTTTTTCAGGATATGACTTTTTCAATAGGGCATCATCACCTGGGACAGTCACAGTAAAATTAATTTAACCTTTTAATTCCCGAGTGACCATACAGAATTTCTCCTTACAATATCAATAGAAAATCAAGCAGACAAGAGCCAAGAATAAAGAAAAATGTCAATTAGGAGATTTAAATAAGTTGATCCAATATCAAATTAACTGGAGTAACATCATTAAAATTAAATAAAAGACAGTAAGGAGAATTTCTGTGTATCAAGAGCTTCATGTTTGAGCACTTACTAACTGGGTAGTACTACCAACATGGGCCTGAAATCTGTTAGGGAGGGGAGGGCAGGGGGCAAATCTGTGTTTCAGATATGTGTCATGAAATTCACTAAAATAAAAACATTTCTAATCTTGTTACATTAAAAAAAACTGTACTAACTCTGTGTAAGCAATGGTTTTGACTTAAAAAAGTCTGGCAGACAGCATTTCTTATCCCAAAGTCATTACTTAGAAGGCAGCATTAGGTTACAATTCAGAAACCTGTTGTGTTGTAACAAGAAAGCAAGAAGTGCAAAAGAGAAAACAAACCTGATGGTGAATGGTCATTTGCAACCTTCTCAAACACATCTACATCCTCCACTGGATGGACGTTTGCATTTTCCCTACAAAAATTCACCAAACAACCCTTTAGTATATAAACTGGACCCTCCTTCATTTTTGGGCATGACAGTGTCAAATTATAATTTCAAATTAAGGAAAATCAAATGTGAACCATCCAAAAAGTTGGGCCAAAACATAAATACAACCTGTCCTGTATGTGTACATACTTCTCAACAAGATCTTTCTCCACTTTTTGTGTATTTGGAGCAACATTTTCTTCTTCTTCTTCTTCTTCTACTTCTGGATCTAAAATAGTATTAGAAATAGTCACCACATTAAAAATATGCAAAACAAACTGAATTTCGGTCGTTTCATAAACCACCTAATTATGTCAAAAGTGTTCAGTCACTTCATATTTGACACTTTATTTACAATATACTAGAAAATTCTCCTTTTTCAAAGGTAGCCCCACCTGAATACAGAAAATAGTCATCAATGTTTTCAAAACCAAATGAATCTTTCCTGGCTTTTATATTCAGAGGAACACCAGTTCGTCTGTAAGAAATAACAATGATTATCATATATTAGATTTACAATGAAAACTCTGATTGGTCGAGAGCATACAGCCAACAAACAATAGCATGTGAAGCAACTTCATGTATCATCAAACCTCATGTCTGTGTTTACTCAGACATTGGCATTGGTAATTCTTAATATCAAGTTCAACCTCATCCAATGATTGCTCAGTATCACGAGAAAATGCTTACATTTATGAAAGTGTAATTACAAACAAAAAGACCAATTCATAAGTAGTTTCTAATGCAAGTTCTCATTATTAGCTGACATGTGTGTTTCCTTGCCTGCAAGAATGTCTGAGTCCTTGTAAGTACCAAAGGCAATGTATAGATTTATTAAAGACTTATCGATTAATTAATTACTAGTTATTAATTAAGATAAGTTTGGAGAATGTTGATACTGATGTTAGAGCGAGTCGTTAAGACAACACCTTTCAGCTGATATGTTTGTAATTCTCTTCACATGTTTTCTAGGTGTTTTGATTAAATTGAGATAGGGAGTTATAACTGAATAATTTTTGAACATTTAAGGGTCAAATAGATTGAAAGTAATTCTGATATGAGTTTTACCTTCCTATTAGTGGATCTTGAAATGGTTCATTAGGAATATGTAGATTATGTAAGAGAGCATTTCTCCTGGCAGCCTGCAAGAAAAGATTATGGTTTAAATAATTATGGAAGGCCATATGAAGCTTTTCCTAAAAAACGATATCTAATGGAATGTTTTGAGGGACCTTTTCCGGGTACTGCAAACGCCGATCCTGTGATCGATGTAAAAACTGTTCAAACATAAAGTCTGTGAAGAACGAACTTCAAAATGCTATTATATACACTTTTAGGCTAAGAAAATAAAAGCAGACATGGTTTTAGTGACCTGATGCAAAGATCTATAAATATTAGTTTTGATAATACGAAACAATGTTTAATAATACGATCTCACCTTCGCTGCCGCCATTTTGGCTTAACGTTCTTCGCCTATTTCCTTGTTTGCCTAACTTTATATCTGCCCTAAAGAGTCAGAGGACTTAATAAAAACTTTCAATCATATGAAGCTAGGAAATCGAGAAGCAATCGGCAGCTCTGAAGACAGTTTTCCTCTTTAATTAGCCAGAATTTTAGCAAAATGTTTTGATCCGTAAAATTTTGTCTTTCCCGCTTCTCACAATTACGCATGCTCTTTGGCAAATCTTTAGGCAAACCTCGGGCTCATGTAAGCGAGATTACGGACAGCTTTCAAAACCGTGTCTGAAGTTTTCAGGTAATCGTCTCGTACTCTGCATGAATGCTTGTTGAGCTGTGCTTATTCTAGAGTAGAAAAAGTTTGTCAAGTGTTTTAGATCCAAAGTATATTACGTAGACTTAAGTTTTTCACCACTTTGTTTTCCAAAGGTCATCAGTACAAACAATGCTGAGTCATAGTCCACCATGGAAAGCGTTTGACTATGAAACAACCCACTTCTGGGTTCACTATGGTCTGTGTACAATCGGTTTTCTACTTGCAGTGATAACTTATGTAACACAAGCTGCAAAACCAGCTCCTTATGGAAAACATCAGACATCTAATCACTCATTTGGCCCTTTGGTTCACCAAAGAGTTGCACACACTGTATCAGATGCAATCCCAGGAGTCTTTCTGTTTTCACTGGTATTTTTTCTCTATGGAATCCAAAAGGAATCCATCAACTTGATATTGTACTCTATGTGGCTTTCTCACTATTTGCATCGTGGAATTATCCACCCCTGGATAATGAGATACAGTAGTCTAAAGACCCCTGTGGGAATATCTCTGGGAGCACTGTTTCCTAACCTTCTATACAGTTTCCTTAATGCTGATTGGATTGGCTCAGCAGACTTCGATGAAAATTACTTCAAAGATCTGCGCTTTGTTATTGGTGTCATATTTTTTGTGGCAGGATATGTTATTAACCGCTATGCAGACTTCTTGCTTCGCGGACTAAGAGCTAAAGGTGATTCCAAATACTACATTCCCAATGGATTCTTGTTTGACTTGATTTCTTGTCCTAATTATTTTGGTGAGATGCTTGAGTGGTTTGGCTGGGCAATAGCAACATGGTCTGTAGCTGGTGCAGTCTGGCTGTTGTTTTCTAGTGCTACATTTCTACCAAGAGCTACAGACAATCACAAATGGTATACAAAGAAATTTGCTGACTATCCCAAGGATCGAAAAGCTTTGATTCCCTTTTTGTATTGAACCTAAATGATCTTGATCTTAGTCAGTCAGTGTTGTAGAATAAATTCAATTGGTGTTTCATTACAGTTATTGTTGTGTTAGAAACAATAAAATAGCTCAAAAAAAATTTATTTAATCTTTTTTTCTTAAACCCTTAAAACATAATGCACAATTTATCTCTTAGATGCTTAACATTTCCAAGAACATTTCTCAAAGAAAATTTGCTGTTAAAAAGATAACATCATCCAGCAGATAAGGTTGTGGACTTGGGAGTAACAATAGTTAAGGATGACTCTACACTCCCCAAAATTACATAATTCCCAAAAAAGGGATCCAGTCAATGGATCCAAGTTATCTGTTGTCTTACCTGGACAAGGTTTGCTTTTATTAAAGATAAGCTTGGAAACTTTCAGCCATAGGTTCCAAGGATACTTTCAGCCATAGGTTTCAAGGTTAGTTATCATTTGACTATCTAAAGAAGATTGCCAATAAACTTGAAATAAATATGTTTGCCAAAAGGAGCCAGAATTGTTCCCCTAAGGACCTTCTGTTTATGGATTTTTACCTTTATGAGGGTAGCTTAATGTTTCAACCATGTTTTGTTATGTGCTGCTTTTGTTTTCTCTCTGTAGTGTCTCAAATTGTGCTTTTGTGTGGTTAGAAGCCTAGACTATAAAATCAGGTTACCTCTCATTTATTTTTCTTCCAAATCTAACTCAGGAGTCTGGGTGATATTGAAAGAAATATTTGATTTAAAAAGAATGAAACAATCACTTTTTTCATGGTGACTAAAACTGACTGAACGCAGAACAATAGTAAAGCCAAACGTGTGCCTGATTCAAAGGCGGCTGAAATGATTTATGATGTTCACCAGACCACCCTCTCAAACCACCTCTTCTCGGCACCCGATTCGCCTTTAATCTACCGCTTATAACCGAATCTAATTATTCTCAAATTACCGCACACATGCTGATAAAGTAGGGCCTATTTACCTACCGAGATTAGATTACCAAGAACAAAACAAAGGCTAAAACAAAACAAAGGAAGACAAAACAAAGGAAATGATTTCAGAATGTTTTTCTGTTCTTTTGGCAAGGTTCAAGCGAAAGAGGAAAATTCATCTCTTTTACATCTGGTAAAAAGAGATCATGGATAAAATTCCACGCGTGAAGATTACTGAAGAACAGAAAAACATTCTGAAATCATTTCCTTTGTTTTGTTTTCCTTTGTTTTGCTTTGTTTTGGCCTTTGTTTTGTTCTCGGTAATCTAATCTCGGTAGGTAAATAGGGCCTACTTTATCAGCATGTATGCGGTAATTTGAAATAATTAGATTCGCTTATAAGCGGTAGATTAAAGGCGAATCGGGTGTTCTCGGTGGGTTGTAGTTTGCGAGAGGCTTGGGTACTAGTTTGTTCGCAATGAAGAATTAAACCACTGTTCGATATATTGGTAAAACTTTTAATCTCAAGCCACGTAAAGGTAAGGTCAATATTTTTTGGTTTCTTTACAATTATCGCTTTTTCAGGTGTGCCTTGCCGCCTTCTTTTATTCATAAGGCGACAAAAAGTAGTGGTATTGCGTGAACAATCGATCAAACATTGACTCGGCGAAAATTCTGCATAAACATGCAAACACCAAAAACAAAACAACAACAGAATTGTTTTAAATCAGCAATTAAAATACATATCTAACAATCCTTACCCAATGTTGTCTGTAAAATAAAGGCAAAATATCTAGAAGCTCTGGGAGAAAAAGTAAATGACTTTGTTGAAGAAGGCAAGCATAAATTTCAATCTTTAAAATATCCTGGCATACGTAAACATATTTATGCTTACAATCTTATATAAATTAATTGAATGCAGTCCTCAAACACTTCAGGTGAACAATGCTGAATGCACTACCGTGGACGGCCTTTAAAGACGACAAAATACACTTTTGGGTCCACTATGGTCTCTGTGGGTTTGGTTTTCTTTTGGCGGTGATCACTTTTATAGCTCAAGCTACAAAACCAGCACCTTATGGAAGACACCAGAAATCTAACCACTCATTTGGACCAATGGTTCATCAAAAACTTGCTCACACTATATCAGATGCCATTCCTGGTGTACTTCTGTTTTCACTTGTATTTTTTCTTTATGGGACTCATACAGAGTACACCAATATAACATTTTACTGTCTATGGCTTTGTCATTATGTACACCGGGGAATTATTCACCCATGGATCATGAAATACAGCAGTCCAAAGACCCCCTTGGGTATACCATTAGGAGGGCTGTTCCCTAACCTTCTGTACAGTTTTCTTAATGCTGATTGGATAGGTGCTGCTTCCTACAACTCTGGCTATTACAGAGACCTACGGTTTATCATCGGTGTCGTGATGTTTGTCACAGGATATGTCATAAACCGCTATGCAGACTTATCACTTCGTAAGCTTAGAGCAAACAGCAGCCCTGGATATTCCATTCCTAATGGGTGCTTGTTTAACAAGATTTCTTGTCCAAACTATTTTGGCGAAATGCTTGAATGGTTCGGCTGGGCCTTGGGAACATGGTCATTGGCAGGTACTGTGTGGTTTTTGTTTTCCAGTGCAACATTAGTTCCACGATCTAGGCATAACCACAGATGGTATAAGGAGCAATTTCCTGATTACCCTGCAAATCGAAAAGCTCTGATTCCTTTTCTGTTTTAAAATGGTAACTATTTCAGGAATGCAGGCAATAATCAGAGGTACAAGGAAAAGTATGCTGTTCTTATTGCTTTCCTGTCCACTTTTCTGAGCATTGTGGAATGCACATTTCCAATAGTCCTTTTTACAGTTGTGGGCTTGGTGGCCAAGCCTTTGAACAAGAGTGAGGCTAAGGGTGACCCTGTTCTGATAGAGACCTGTATCTAGTTAGCATGATAACAAAGAAATCTGCATTTGAAAAGCAACAACATTTCTATCATAACAAGGTCACCCTTAATTAGCCTCACTCCTGTTCAAAGGCTTGGCCACCAAACCCACAACTGTAAAAAGGACTATTGAGTGTCTGTTTAGGAGGACAAGTGATTGATTAAGCAGTAAACAATGAAAATACTGGCTGAGATCATGTCATAGTTTTCTACTGCTACTAGTACATACTTCTCTCTCTGCCTCTCATATTTTGCCGAGCAAAATGTTAGGGAAACCTGTCTAATTTTAAAAGGGGGGGGGGAGGGGGGAGCAGTGGTTCTGTTAATAACTGAACTAGCATCCCATGCTGGTGAAGCCTCCCAAACAAAAGCTCTTTTGGCCAGTAATGGTTTCTATACCAGCACTTGACAGGAAATTTCCATAATTGATTGTCACACAGTCCTTTCCAGCTGAACAGTATCTATCATCACAGTCTCTTATGATATTTTCTTAGTGGGACTGTGTGAAAAGCTAGAAGGGAAACTGCCAAATCTTGAAAAGAATACCTATTAAAATTATTTGTGAAGGTCTGAAGTAAAGTTCATTCTAATCATGGAAAACTTTGGAAGACAAGAGAATGGGTTTTGCAACTAAAAAAACAGTAAGTACTGTAGTGCAATGAAGTCTTCGTACATTGGGTGCGTGAATAGTCTTTAAGAAATATCCCTGGAATTATCGAAGCTAATTAATAGAATAGAGAATTTTCTGGTGATTGCCTCAAGTTCTTGAAAGGGAAACCCGCTGACACGAACACGCGAGACATCAATCAAGTGACAATCGCCACCTCTTTTACCCAATACATAATGGAGACCTTTTTCAACTATATTCCTAGAGACGAGATCAGAGAAAACAGGAATAGGGTTAGGACAGGGGAAAGTTTTACCTTCTCGCTCTTAGAAGGAAAAACAATTACTTTTCAGCTTCCTTCCTGGTCGCTTCTGCCTCGCGTTTTCTTCGAACGCTGAATAAAGGAAATAGTTTCTTCGAGCGTGGAATAAAAAGAGTGTGTTCAACGAACCTTATAAAATATCCATCCAATTCTCTTTTGTGTTTCTCGTGGTCTCTGCTATTTCGCTTTAAACGGAAGAAGACAATGTTCGTTTTCGTTTTGCTCTGCTTTGCAAACTGTTATTGCGCGTCTGTAGAATGACGAAAGCATCTATTTGAACGCAGAGATGAAACTCGATGACCAAGCTAGAGATTTATCACTGCTTTCTTCGTGGGATCGGAATTTGCGCCGCTACTGCTCAATTAACTACCTTTATCAACTTGAAGTAAACTCAAAAAGGAAAATTCTAACCGGTAACTTTACATTTTTAAATAGTTTTATTTGCGAGGATTTTTAACATAACACATTAATTTCTTTTTCTTTTTCACTAATTAACTACCTACAACATCTTTGACCTTGACCCGCTTTATTTAATTCTGATTGGTCACTATAGTTACTGCAAACATGCTTTAGAGCAGTTTTGTCTAAGTGGAATTAAAAATACCGAAGGATTACAAAGGTACCAGACTTTACTTTACAAATTCTTTATTGTCAACGGAAGTAAGCTTACTGGCTTTGTTTAGAAAGGCATTTAGCAGTCTGGTCTAATCTAACCTAATGACGCTTTAATTCTCTGTAGAAAGTATAGTAGAAAGATGAAAACACACATCGTGATATCGATAAAATTATGACTTCCTCTTGTAACGTTATTCCTTTGAGAGAAGTTAGCTTGAAAAAAAAATCTATTATAAATCATCAACAAACGGTATAGTTTGAATTTACAAGACTCCTAACATTCCCTGAAGAAAATGTGCCGCTTAGTATGGAGAATATTGACTCTAATCGAGTTTAGATGTTAAACGGTTGGACAAACGTCTTAGGTTCGTTCTTTTAAAGTGAATCACTAACGATAAATCGAGCAGCAGACCGTTACAAAGACTGAACGGTTTCAAGTTGTTAAGAGAAAACTGTTGAGTCACGTAAACTGTTGGTATACGATTTTGTAGAAATGCGAACTTAAAATTTCTTACCCCATTTAGCCAACAAACAAATAGAGTTAATTCTTTGAGACAGTTGAAGTCTTAAATTGAATACGCACAGGAATCGAGACTATTCAATCAGTTCAAGTAATGGCAAGCTCTGTTAAGACCGCTTCTGTGGAAGGAACATTGACTCGAGGTGTGCTTCGAGGAGTGTTGAAGAAAACAGGGAACAATCAACGCCGGTCGGCGACTTTAACAAGCCAAGAATCTTCTGTTATGTTCTCAATGGAAGGAGAAAAGTTAAAACTGACCTCACCAGGTTTAGAAAACTCATTTAAAATGAAGCCGGATACCTTGTTTGATTCCGAAAGAGTGCGAAGGCTGGCCGAAGACATTTTGCATCGTACATTTCATGGAATGAAATACGAACGAGAAAAATGCCGACAGTTGTCGTTGAAGGCGAGTGAGGAGTTGAAAGATAAAGTAAAGCTGGAGCTTGGTTGTGACAGGTTCAAGTTTGTTTCCATGGTTTATTTGGGAGCAAAGCTGAATCAGGGAATGAGCATCGCTAGCCGTTGTCTGATGGATGAAAGATTTGATCGATGTGCTACGGCCTCGTTTCAAAATGGCTCTCTGTTTGCTGTGGCTACAATTTACGGTATATATCTGGAATAGCTGCGAAAGATGTCCCATACGACTCGCTGATTATGCAATAGATACGGTCTCTGTTTTTTCTTGAATATATTAGTTCAGCTATCACTGAAGAGTATTAACAGATAGAACAGTTTTAATGGCAAAAGCGGTCATTAATTTAGGTTACTAAGGATCAAGATCTAGAGTTCTTGTTTTAATCACTTTCGAGTGAAATCATTCAAATTCGGACTAATATTTACAGCCCACCGCTCCATCTAAAATTAATCAATCAATCAGTCACACTCTTTACTTTAGTACCCTTTTTCTTAATCCTCCGGTTTGCCCAGAGGGAAAAGGCCCAGTATAGGTTGAAGCTTCGTTATTTTTTTCATCGTTAAGTCACAAATCGTCCTCTGAGCTCTAAAGCGCATTCGTGAAATCCAATTGCGCATCATCGATTATCCCCGACATCTCCTACTCGATTAAATTGGAGCCGATCAGGCGTAGGAAGAATGCAAATTTTAATTAAAAAAAAGAACCTGCATACACAGCAACGATGCATTAAATACTACCATTTTTCAAGTAAGGTCTTTTACTATATTGTAGTTAATGGTCAGTCTCAAACACATATAACATTGGCGGTCTTTCCAAATATCGAACTATGAAAATAGAAAATTCAGAAATTACAATATGGGAAGCTCGAGTTCCCCGCACATACGCGTCTTGTTTTGGTTTAAAATGCGTGTAACCTTGCTGTCTGTTATAAATGTCGTTTACATCTATCTACTTGCTAAGGCCGTTATCAGCATTACTGCGCTTATTTAACTATTTACAACGGTTTTGCAACCCGTATTTGAAAACACTTGTGGTAGCAAATATATCAGTTGGGAGGGCTTTTCGTTGAAATCTTACTTGTGGATTCTTGAGATTGTAAGTTATCAGTACCGAATGCTGTCTACAGCGGTGTGTGTTTGTGTTTTTTTAAGTTCGAGGGGAAATATTCACTTTTATCCCATTTTTAGCTCGCAAAATTAGCTCTGGAATCAAGTCATCGATTGGTACGCAACAGTCACGATTAACAGATAACTTGAACCTGTAAATGAGAAAAATAACAGAATAAAATGTATCAGTACATGAAAAAGGAAAGAAATAGTGCATAAATACTTTCAATACTTGAATATTTACCGAATGACTAAAGGGTGAAGACTAGTTATTAAGTATTTATTCCTTAAAGTATAAACGTAACTAACTTGCGTATGATCAAAGCCACAGACAATTTGACTTCCATCAGGGCAAAGTTTTGTCCAATGCAGTTCCTGTTTGATACAAGAAAATATTTTTCACAAGATGAAAATTTGATGGGGTGAAATAAAAAGTGTGAGAAGAAGAATGTAATGCATTTCAATGAAAAGAGCAGCAAAAGCTGCGTTTGAGAGTCAAATTCAGGTAACTTGCAACATAGTGTCAAGCGCGGAAAAGCATACAATGCAATACCAAGCGCGGAAAAGCATGCAACGCGGTGTCAAGCGCAGGAAAACAGGAAGTGCAGTATCAAGTACTTGAAAGAATATGCTATGCACAAGCGCGGGAAAACTTGCAGATACGTTCACGCGAATGGGTTCCCCAGTTTGTGAACCCGTATTTCAGCCCGTTTTTGGAATAGTAGGTTGCACTCCGGAATCAGGACTCAGAACCAGAACTTGTTGATAAAAATCGATCAGGAACCCTACACTGACCAAGCAATATTGGTAAAATACATCAACATCAATCACATATCCTCTCTGACATTTACCTTGGACCAGCCGAAAACGGAATGAAGGCATACGGTGACATATCTTTGGCGTTTTCAGTCGTGAAGCGCAGTGGGTCGAACTTCTGTTTTAAATAGGAGATAAAAAAATTGCAACAATTATAGTAAAGGATACAAGTATATTTGGTAAGTGTATGTTAAAGCGCAAATTTTCTACTAAATACCACAAAAAATTCATGATAGTTTCTGTTCACATCACTTATAACCTGGCACAAAATTGCCGAAGAATATCTACTAGATATCTCTCTCTAACTAACCATAGACTTAATTTTGTTGTGTTACTCTATGCTATTACATATAAGCGAAGCCGTTGTAGTGGACTGGTGACATAGATGATTAATTACGCATCAGTTTATTGAATACACAAACCTTAGGGTCCTTCCACACGTGTGGGTTAAGATGTAAAGCGTAGATGTTGGTCATCACCCAAGTTCCTGAAGAAAATGAAAATGAAATGTTTTCCTAAAGTACATTAGAGGTATTTATTTATTTGGGGGATAGAAAACGCGTAAGAATTTGAAGGATATGGCAAGCAGCGCGATGGGCGGGGGGGGGAGGGGGGAAAGGAATCGTATAGTTCTGCCTATCTTCCACTCCACTCGATGATTCCTTCTGTCTTTGTGAAGGTATCTGTAATTAAATTCATCGATGATTCTGTATGCATCACTTCTAGCAACTGTTTATGAAGCAACTGATTTTCGTACCTAGTCCAACTTAAGGGAGAGGGGTAGTTCCAGGGTGTATGTGAACTCCCGCCCTAATTTTCAATAAAAAGTTACAATTTATGATAAAACGACTTGACTTGTCCACAAAGATGCACGACCCCTTGCCCTTCCTCACATCAGAAATTTGCCTTCTCCCCTCCTGTCAGTGGGTGAAAAGTTGGAAAGAAGATTATTGAGTAGTGCATGATTCTGACAAGTCAGAAATGCTCGTGATCAATACACACAATACCTTCCGGCACGGAATGACCATCAATTTCATAGGTCCTGTCCAATGTTCGACTGATTATGGGGACTGGGGCGAATAACCGGCAACTCTCCTTAATGCACATGAGCAGATATTTCAGTTTGCCGAGCTGCTTCCTATGAAAACACAACGTACCGCCAGCAAAATGACGTCACAGTGAAAAAAGAAGTAACAAGGTCACGTAATGGGTACTTATGCTTCGTCACATTAAGATTACGCGGCGCCCGCAGAAATTTTGTAAATCTTGTTTTTGATTTTGATTATGTTATAAAATATTTCCACAATGAAGCTCAGGGAGAAATGTCACAGCATCTCTCTTAATTGGATTCAGTGTTGTAGATTACTACAAGTGCAAAAGAGGAAATATATTTTTGTCGCAGACCGCCTGTCTCTCTCGCGCCAGAGGTGGACAGTAGAAAGCTACCATAGCATAGCATAGCATAGCATA